CATAGTATAATATAATAAATATATAACTGATATATTTATTAATAACGAATGGTCATTATATTACAGTTTTCCACTGAAAGCTTCTCCCTCTCTTGCCCCCATTCAAGCTCTGTGCTCATTGCCGTGGGGAGGCGTGTGGTCGGGGAAACAACAAAAATAGACTGCAAGACATCCTGGACTTGGTTTCCAAACGCGTCAGACTTTGGGATAACTTAGAAGGTTTGGAGAGGAAGTAAAAGAAGGGGGGATTCGTGGGTACAGACAGGATGCATGCCTTGGAGGAGCAGGAGGGCCAGCTCAGGCTGGAAGGTGAACCCCAGCTGGACGAAGGCAAAGAGAGAGGTCTGAGGGCCAGGGAACAGCCTAGCAGCTTTCTGGGGAAAAGACGCCGGAGACAAACACCTGTGCATGACATCCAGGCCACAGGACTGTAGACAATCTCACGAAAGATTAACAGACCCCAATTGTGACATGGAAGTAACAGAGACCCGAGGCTGCCTCAGCGACCAGGGACAGCAGACACTCAAGAGCAGAGGTCCAGATGAGATCCCTCTCCCTACCCTCCCGGAGAACTGACATGACCCTGGAGTAGAAGGGAATTATAGGAAATAAGGAAACCGTTCACATGAAGGTTGATGGACTGAGATTGATATGTGGTATTCATAGTAAAAGGAGCCCTGGTGTCGCAATGGTTAAGTGCTCAGCTGCTAACCGAAAAGTCGGCAGTTCAAGCCCACCAGCCACTTTGCAGGAGAAAAGACCTGGTGATCTGTTCCTGTAAAAAATTCAGCTTAGGAAACCCTATAGGACAGTTCTACTCTGTTCTATAGGGTTGCAATGAGATGGAATCAACTCGACGGCACACAACCACAACATTCATGGTAAGAAAAAATATAATCTTGAGTTTAAGACAATGGGTCCTGGGGTGTCACAGACCTGGGTCTGTCCTGGCTCTCCCACTATACTGGCTGTGAGATCTTAAGCAAATTGCGTCTTTGAGCTTCTGTCTCAGAAATTAAAAACCATCTGCTGTCAAAATAACTCTGACTCATGGCAAGTCTATCAGTAGAACTGTGGAGGACAGTAATTGTACCTACCTTGTAGGGTCATTATGTGGATTAAAAGATAAAACAAGTGTAAAATGCTCAGTACAGTGCCTGACTCACGGTCTAAGTTCTCAGTGTTACCTGGGCAGGACTCATGCCGTGGGCTCAGGCTCTTGGCCGTCCACACAGCCATGCTCCAATCCCACATCAGAATCCCCTAAGTGGCTGCCCTCTGAGAGAGATGGCCTCAATGGCCCGAATTCTTCACTTCTCCCTGTAGTCTCACTCTTAGCCATGCGACTTTTCAGTTCCTACCGCTAAAGAGGCTGAGTATATCCCCTGACCTCCAGCTTTGGGCTCAGCCGTGTGACTTGTTTTGGCCAATGAAACGTTAGTCAGTGGTTGTTATGAGACCAAAGGCGTGAAAAGCACTTGCTCATTTGGGCTTGCTCTCTTGCACTTCTGCTATTGCCTTAAGAACATGCCCAGGCTAGCCCACTGGGGGCAGGAGGTGAATGAAAAATACATGGGATGGAGCCAGGTCCCCCAGGCAAGCCCCGCCTAGCTCAGCCAAGTCCCAGCTGAGCACCAGATGCTTACTGTTTGGTGCCCCTGAGATTTTGTGGTTGCTTGTTATAGAGCAGCGGTTTGACTGATACAGCCTCTACGTTTGAACACTTCCAGGGACAGGAAATTCACTCCTTCCAGGGGCAACCCATTCCTTCCCTGGTCAGCTTTGAGCAGTAACTTCAAGGAATTCCTCTCCCAGAACCACCTCCCTGACATTGGTACTCCCAGCTCCCAGGGGAGAAGGCAAGACCCAAGGCCACTGAGCAGACTCACCATACTCTCGATGTGGGGCTGTCCTTTGTCTCCCGAGGGAGCCCTGGATTCTCAGACAGGGCTGAGCCTGAGGGAACAGAGGCCTGTAGGAGTCAACAGCCCCAGGGCCCCTCCACATGGCCCGAGCCAGGATGGAGGGAGACAGGAGTATCTGGAGGAGGGTCCAGGTAACACCCTTCCCAGGGCCCGTCCCTTACGGGCAGGGGTCTCTGTATTCAGCATCCCCTTGTAGGATTCAGGGGAAGTGGCCCCTGGTGGGAAAGGGGATGGGGTGAGGCACCATGATGGTAGCTCCTTCAGCAGTCTCAGCAGCCAGCACCCCAAGTGAGTAATGTGCTGTGGCATTTGTAGTCTACGTCACCACAAGGTAGGAAGGTTGGGTTCTGGACTGTGCATCCAGGTGTGAGGCAGCTTCTTGCTCCTCATCCCTGGAGGTCCTCCTAGCGCATCTCCCTCTGAGGAGAGGTTGACTCTCTTCAGAGGCTAGAGGCTAGGCACAGTTGGGCTCAGTCACTGCCCCCCTCCTAGCCCTGGGCAGCCCCAGGCTCCCCTTCCCTACTCACCACGAGGACCCCATTGGTGATGACTTCAGAGGCAGGCACCTGGCTGCAAAGGATGAGGGGCTCATGGAACATCTGAACCCCTCACTGGCCACCTCCTGATGGCTGTTACTACTGGAAGAGTCTGGGGAGCGTGGTCAGGCTTGGGGATAAGGTGAGCCTGTCGGCCAACACTCAAACGGACATCAAGTCCAGGCCATCTCCTCCCGGGCCATGGCGACTGGCAGCAGGGAGCTGCCGTCACTCAGATCTCTGTGCATCTCAGACAGGGTGTGGATGCCCCCTGGACTCACCTCTCCTCCAGAACAAATTCCACTTGCAGCTCTTGTGAACCCTAGATGGAGAGGGCAGGGCGGCACCAGTTTACAAAGGGCTCATAAGGTCTCAGAGATCAAACCTCCCCAGGCTTGGCGTCCCTGCCTCCCAACCCTGCTCCAGGAACCAGAAGAGAAGGCTGTTGTGGCTCCTCATGGGCACAGGGTGGGCAGTGCATCTCTACACAGAGTCTCACTCATTCATCCAAAAGTGTGTGCCAGGCACTGTTCTAGACACTGAGGATTCAGCGGGGACCGAAACAAAGCGCCACCCTCATGGAGCTCACCTCCGGGTTTCACACAGGGAAGAAATATGAAGGAAAGCTTTATAGGCTCAGCGCTGCAGATGGAGGAGGGTCTGTCTTGGAGATCTGGCCCGCGCTGACTGGGAGCCCCTCATCAGCACCCCAGCTCTAGCCCTTCTCTCCTTGAGCTTGGCTCACCGTCAGCACAGGGAGGGGGCTCACCTGGTGGTTGAGTGGGAAGGTATGCGTGTGGGGTTGACCAGGCTTAAGGCTCCTCAGGTCAAACAGGAGCAGGGAGAGTTGGTCACTGCCCAGGACATCCTTGTCATAGAGGGTGAGCTCCAGGACGTTCTAGGAACAGAGCAGGCCGGAGGCCCGAGCCTGAGCAGGGCGGGAGGGCAACATCCTGCAGAAGCCTTCTCCCAATCTGCAGCCCTCTCCCTCGCTGGCCCTCACCTTCACAGCACCATGGACCTGGTAGTGGAAGGTTTCATTCCACTCGGGGTCACTACAGTTGGCCACCATCTTCGTCTGGGCGATATTAGGGGACGCCGTGGGCAGCCACAATTGCACGTAGCAGTCAGCTTTGGACACTGCAGGTGGGACAGGGAGGAGAACTGAAAGGGTTTCCTGGAGGAGGCTGGGGTGGGAGAGGGAGGAGCAGGAGTGGAGAGGGGAGAGGAGGCTGCCCACATGGTGGGGTGTGGTGGGGAGACAGGGAATAGCTGTTGGTGCCCTGTGACTCTATCTTGACCAGTTACACCTCCCATTCAACCGGACAAAACCAGAAAACCTGCAGTGGCCAGTTGAAAAGACCACGTGGTGGCACAGACCATTGAGTAGTTCTGGGAACTGCCTGATCCAAGCAGTAAGGTCGTTCCCTGGGTGTTGGCACAATGAGTTCCTGGAGAGCAGACGCTGACATGCAGGCAAGTGGGGTGCACACTCCTGCCTGGGCTCACTCTGCAGTGTCTGCACAAGTTCCCCTCCAGCCCCAGCCGCCCGCTCAGAGGATCGCCTGTGCACCCTCGCCAGTCCTTCCACCCCTACCCACACACACCCCCAATCAGGCCTGCCCCCACTGGCCCCAGGGACAGGAAGGGGAGAGTGGAGTTGGGAGTCACTCACACAGGTCTGTGCCCCGGATATTCCTGGCCCTCAGCACCTTCACCTGGAGGTCATAGTATGGGTAGGTTTCCCGCTGAAACAATAGAGTTCTGGGGGCTCAGTTTGCAGAAGCCTGGCGTCGGCCCCATCTCCTCCCTGAAGTAGGGCCTAGCTCGAGGTTCCTGGCCTCACCCACTGCAGAGCAGCAGCTGGCCCAGGGTCATGGATGTAGTTGTCCTGGGGACCTGGGGCACATTGGCAGGGCCCAGACATTGGAAGTCCCCAGTGGTGACAAACCTGGACCCTGGAATTAATCAGGCCAGGGTTCAAACCTGGAAACCCTGGTGGTGTAGTGGTCACAGCTGCTAACCAAAAGGTGGGCAGTTCGAATCTACCAGGTGCTCTTTGGAAACCCTGTGTGGCAGTTCTACTCTGTCCTATATGGTCGTTATGAGTGGGAATCGACTCAACAGCAGCGGGTTGGGTTTGGTTTGGTTTGGTTTTGGGTTCAAATCTAGACTCTACCAACCACTAGTTGAGTGGCCTGGGGCAATATATAATTTTTCTGTGATTCAGTTTTCCCATCGATCAAATGGGGGTTATAATGACCTCACAGAGTCATGGTGAGTTTTAAGTGAGAATTTGATCACAGAACTGAGAGCCAGGCCAAGCCGGAAGGCAAGTGGATGGAAACCAGCTGGAAAGAGCAAGGCGCCCAAAGCACACAGACCGCTGCTTGCAGGGACCAAGCCAGCCTGAGCTAAGTGCTCAAAATAAGTAGCCATTGGTACTAGTTATTCTTATTATTCACCACAAGTTCACAGCTTCATCAGACTACAGTGTGCCCACTGCAGTGTGAGAGCTGAGTTACGTGCTTAAGGAGATTAAACATTAAAAGAGAGAGTTATGATCCACCCCTCCCCAGCTCCCTGACAAAGGAAGACCGCCCAGGAGGCAGAGGGCAGTTGAAGGGAAGCCAAGAGTCACCCAGCTTGTACGGGTCCGACCAGTCACTAAGGAGACTGTAGCTTGGGCTCTGGAGAGAGAAGTTAACCACAGCCTCCTAGGGTGAAAATTGTGAGTTGCTGTGGAGTCGATTCTGACTCATGGTGACCCTATGTGTGTCAGAGTAGAACTGCACTCCTTAGGATTTTCAAGGCTTGTGACCTTTTGGAAGCAGATCTCCAGGCCTGTCTTCCTAGGTACCTCTGGGTGGGTTTGAACCACCAACCTTACGGCTAGTAGTTCAGCACTTAACCGTTTGTGCCACTCAGTGACTCCTCAGAGTGAAACTATCCCCTTAAAATCCCAGCAAGCTCCTCATAGCTTCTTCTCCCCATAGACTCCACTGCAAGCTCCGGCCTCCTGGCAGAAATCCACCAACCAATGGGAGTCCACATGACCTCACCCTGCATTCCCTAATTGGGGTGGGGTGGGGGGATTATTTTCAAAAGCCAAGGTCTTGGCCAGTCTCTCTAAGCTCTGCAAAGTTGTCTGAACAAATAGGTCCCACCCCAGATCAAAACCCAGTGCCAGGGCTGGGGTGAATACTTAATCCCCATCCTCAAGGGGACCACGTCTCCCAGAACTTCCCCAGGCCATATTTCCCAGCGAGATCTGGTACTTTACCCGCCAGTGCCTCCACTGAGGTCCCCTCTTCTCTCTCTTCCACTGCAGCACAGCCCCCAGGAGGGGCAGCCCCCTGCCTGCCAGCCACCCTGGCCAGAGCGCCCAGAGCATGGCTGGGCAGCTCAGTGCCAGCAAGAACCCTGTCTGCTCCCCAGAGCCACCCTGCTCTCCTCTGGCTGCACGCGCTGCCCACTCAGGTATGACAGGTAACACTGGGGTGGGGAGGGCGGGGCTGGGCTGCTGGGCTGTGGAGTTAGGGCTGGATGGCCCACAGGAGCTGGAGGTGTGGTCTGAAGTGCCAGGAAGTGACTGGAGCGTAATTTCCTCTCAAGCAGGAGGCAGTTCCAAGAGGGTATCCCTTTCCCCAAGAGGATGAGAAATGAGCGCTGTGGTTCCCAAACCCCTCTGCCTTGTTATCATTTGGCCTCATTCCCAGACAGTCTGATTTAGTGGGTGTTTCCAGGTGTTCCTATTTCCAACAAGGACTCTATGGAGAAGCAGCTGGCAAGTGCTGGGTCAGGGACAAATCTACAGGTATTGAAAAACATCTGCCTTTCAAGCGCCACCTTCCCCATGGCCTCACAGAAGTGTGGAATTTCTGGTTCAGTGTTTCAGCTGAACTCAAAGGTGTTTCTAATGGCGCATGGGCTCCCTCATGTCATTCCCATTTACTGAGAGCCTGCTGTGTCAGATCTGTACTAGGTCCTGGAACACAAAGGTGCAGAAGGCTGTCCTCCATGATCATGGAAACGTGCATGGTCCAGGGACAGAGGTGGGAGTGGGGTACAGTCAAGTAGTATCAGTATGGGCAAGTAAAAAGCAGGTCTACTTGTCCTTAACCTATTGGAGATAAAGGTTTTAGAGCTTCCTCTTTGGACCATCCTGTGCCTCAGGCTGCAGATGACATACAGTGCTCCCTTTTCTGTGGCCTGTGACCATCCAGGTGGCCAGGACAGGCAGTCTCCAGTAGAAAGGTTTCTGGGGCAATGAGAGATACTTTTCCTCAGCCAAGATTCAGTCATCTCTACTCTCCCCACAAGGCATAGAGTTGGAGGCTAAAAGAATATCCAAAGAAGAGATTCCACTCCAAAGTGACCCACCAAACAAGGTCAGACCAGAAACTCCTGGAATAAAAGGGAATGTGACTGCTGGTGGCCAGGCCGCAAGGGGGAAGGCCGTTTCTGCTTAATTTGGAATGTGAAGTCAAGCCCTGGGGTGAGGTTTCAGAAATTAGAGTTCAACCCTCTTGGTGATCTCCATAAATAATATGTAGAGGATCCTTGGATCCAGAGGCCCAGAGAGGGGCGGCATACAGACCTAGCTGGTGGCAGAGCCAGGCCTGGGATAGAGGGCTCCTGTTTCGAGTGCTTTTTTGGTTATACCACACTCTTCTGGAAATCATCTGTCCCATGCCTCAACAATAAAGTCATGCCTCAGCTCCAGATGTTTTTTGTCCCCAGAAACTCAGGATGGCCACAGGAAGTTCAACAGGGAGACAGTACATAAGGACCAAATTGCCTTTTTGGAGCTGGCCAAGGTGGACCAGTATTTCTCCATTTCTACAACATTTCTGGGTCCCTCAGCCCCACCGATTCCACCCCCTTACATGACCCTTCTGGTCATTACAAGCTGTAGGAAGAGGCACTAGGCCCTACTGTGTGAAGTGGAGGCAGAAAACCATTTGGATTCTCTCAAGCTCCAGTGCCACCTAGTAGAACATTGTGATGACGGGAGTGTTCTGTATCTGTGCTGTCAACACAGAAGCCACTAACCACACAATGGCCTCTGAGCACTTGAAATGTGGCTAGTGCAATTAAGGAACTGAATTTTAAATTTATTTAACTACTTAAATTTTAAATGGCTGCGTGGTCTAATGGCCACCACAGTGAACAGCACAGGTCTAAACGTAATATATGACACGTAACAGAAGTGTTATACAGGCAGTCCTCGACTTACGACGGGGTTGTTCCGACAACTCCCATCATGTCAGTCTGATGTAAGTCAAATACCTTTTTTTAAAAAATTGTGATTTAGGTGAAAGTTTATAGCGCGAATTAGTTTGTCACTGAAAAATTTACACACAAATTGTTTCATGGCGTTGGCTGCAATCCCATGTTGTGTCAGCACTGTCCCCTTAGCCTTTCCACCCCGGGTTCACTGTGTCCATTCGCCGTTTTCCTGTCCCCCCCCCACCTTCTCATCTTTGTTCTTGGGCAGGTGTTGTCCATTTGATCTAAGAAGCAAGTTCCTCATGTGTTACTGTCTTATAGGCTCACCTGATCTTTGGCTGAAAGGTAAACTCTGGGAGTGGCTTCAATTGTGAGTTAGCAGGGTGTCTGGGGCCTTAGTCTCAGGGGTTCCTCCAGTCTGTCAGGCCAGTAACTCTGGTCTTTTTTGTGAATTTGATCATTTGTTCTACATTTTTCACCCGCTCTATCTGGTCTTTTTTTTTTTTTTAGTTTTCATTATTACTACCTTTTATTATCAGTAACTATAAATCCAATCTTTGTCTATGAGTCAGAATCGACCTGACAGTAACAAGTGTGGTTTTTGGTTTTAAGAGAATGATAACATCAGAAAATTATACATTGCAACATCGTATGTAGTACACATTACTAACAATAAGATGTACAAAACAAAGGATGGTAGTAAGCGTGGTTTGTGGTAACCTGAATCCATCCTAAGTCAGGGACTACCTGTACTGATTTTTTTTGGTCTTAGTCGCTATTAATTGGTTTATTATTCTTAACTCTTAGCTAAACTACTATCATTTTATTGTTATTTTTATCATACTCCACAGAAGGGGTAAAAAAGAGACCCCAATAGGCCTGGCTTCTTACTTTATTGTTTTTATGACGAGGAACAGTTAAGAGATCTTAATTGGGGCTCATTACAGAGCTTTCATCTCCAGCCCCCTCCACACCTCTGGGGAGGACAGGTCTGGGGAACAAAGGATGGTGTTCGTTCGGGAAAACTGGGTCACCTACGCACACCAGAAGGGAAGAACACACATTCTTTGTTCTACCTGCCACGATTAACAAGGATGGAGATGCAAACGCAGCAGGCCAGGAAGGCAGGGTCACGTCATGGGACAAGTTTCTGCTGGAAAGCTGAGGGTGGCCTGGCGACTGTTCCGCTGCACCTGAAGCAGCACATTCCAGCTGGCGCCAACAGGGTCCAGAGCAACGCTGGGTGGGCACGGCCACGCACAGTCCGCCGGGGCTCTCGTGACGCACTGCCCAGCTCTGTGAAGGGGCCGTCAGCATTTATCACCCCACAGACCCTCCACAGAGAGGGTGCCCAGGTGGAGCCGAATCCACCACCAGCATCCCTAGCGAGCCTGCCTACAGCACAGGGCAAAGAACAGCACGATGCTGTGGTTTGAAAAGGATCACAGCATGTCGAGGACAGGCCAGTAAAACAGGTCCAGCGCTGGGGCACTCACACACCCTCACTCTTGTTAAAGATACTGGTTCAGCAAGGGTGCGGATCTGCAGAAACCTTGGGGAGAGCAGGGTGCGGGACCACTCGCCCCACGTCTCCTCAGCCTCCAGGCCTGTGTGCCTCTAGGTACCTTTGGCAGGCAGGCTCCCCAACCGAGGCTGAGCAGACATGGCAGTGAATTATTTTATAAGCCCATGTGTTGCTGGTCTCTGCTGTCCCTGCACACCTCACAAGATCACAGAACTGAGAGCCAGGCCAAGCTGGAAGGTAAGTGGATGGAAACCAGCTGGAAAGAGAAAGGCGCCCAAAGCACAAAGACCGCTGCTTGCAGTGACCAAGCCAGCCTGAGCTGAGCTGCTGCTGGTGAGGGAGCTGGGGCAGGTGCCTCTTCCGAGCGCTTGCTGACGAGGTCACATACCCAGCTCAGCGCTGGTGCGGCCCCCGGGAGCCACAAGCACAGTGGCCCCAGAGGACAGGGGCGGAGAAAGAGGTGAGGACAGAATGTCCCTAGGCAGAGTGTGCCATTCAGAGATCTATTTACATCGTACAGGACAATCCATTAGCCGTGTATTCCTAGAAGCTGGGCCGTTGCCTCGCTTCTCATTTGAACCTTGTTTAAACGTTAGTTGTTCCTGGTGTCAGGAGCGTGGGAGAGAAAGCCTGGGTGGGGCAGTGAGGGGAGAGATAAAGGAAGAAAATAGTGAGGAAGAGAAGTGATTGAAAAATCAAGAGGCGAGGAGGGATTATTACGGGGATGCAGCATACAGCTACCCCGGACAAACAAATGCCATTAATAGAAAACGAGGCGTCTGGTATACACAGCACTATTCTCTCACAGGGTCCCCATCAGCCATGCTGAGGGGCCCGTGTGAAGTCGGGTACTTGGTAGAAAAACTCTGAATGAACTACGTGTGGTTATGAACACTTGAGATAAGTTTCCTGATTCGGTGACTGGTATGCAAAGGCGGGACAGTGCACTTCCCCACCTCCTCCTGTCCAAGCAAGTAGTCAATAAATTATCCAGAATTGCCCACAACATAAAGGCGTAAGGTATGACTAATCCCTCTTTCTGTTACAAAGCTGGCAATGCCAGACCGCGAGTCTGGCTAACTCAGCGATGTCCCAGGGCGCCGGGTGTCCAGCAGTGTGCAAACGGGATCCATGGGGGGCGGCCCCTGCTCCCTCAGGCCAGGTGCTCTTTCACCCTCGGGGATAGCGAGCTGTCCATCTGCCGTCCTTGGCGAGCTGGGCTCAGGTGTCAGCCGGGTTCACCTCTTTGGAACAGAAGTAGTGTACGACCACTCCATTGGGGTATCTCGCAAACGCGCTGCAGGGAAAGAGAACGGCGGGGGAGTGGGGACTGCCTCTGAGAGAAGACGCTCTACCTGGAAAGCCACTCCACCCTGACCACAAACAACAGCCTTTCCCTAGGGTCTCTGGATTCACGTAGCCACTCTCTCTGCCAAACCACCAAAAGAGGACGAGTTCCACGCCGTCCAAGCGCACGGGGATACTGCTGACTGAGTGATCAAGGCAAAATGCCTGGGCAGATGGGGCAAGCCAGCAGGTACTGAGAGCCCACGAAGTCCAAGGGAACGAGTGCCAGGCTGACTCTGACTTCCAGCCACGCAAGAAAAAGGACAAATGGCTCCTCTTCATATGAAAGGAGGTCGACCAGAGGATCCGTCTTAAAACAGCAGCACACGGGCTCGGGATTCTGCTCAAGTCACGGTGTGGCAGGCTGAAAGGCCTTTCTCTTCCTTTAGAGGCTCCTCCTTGAAGGAGAAGGACTTTCTACCCACATACAACTATCACCCACCCACTGGCCACATTATAATTTCCAGCTGCCAGAGGGGAAGGGCTTTCTGGGCAAGAAGTGACAGCCCCACGCCACACATTTCAGGTCTCTGAATTCTCAAAGCCCACCTCCAATAGTTAACACGGACTTGCTTTCTGGAGGCTCAGGAACTAAAAGGAGCCCAAGGACACTCAGTAGCCGGCGCTTCACCTTTGGTTAAAGGGCGGAAATCCAGCCTGAGCAGCACCCGTCCCTTGTGGAACCTGACTCTGCCCTGATGGAGAAGAGCCTCTGTGAGAGGCAGGACACCCCCGCGCAGGCTGGGGGGAGGCTCACCTGTTCCCGATCTTCTTCTTGCACACCATGCACACCTTCTCCTCTGTGATGATGCACTTCACCTGCTGGTGTAAAATTCGCTCCTCCTGGACCTGGAAGGGACAGAAAGACTGGGGAGGGGTTCCACGGCCCAGCACACAGACGCAGGGACGGAGGTCGGCACCGGCTCACAGCCTCGGGGCTTCAAACCAGTTCAGTTACGGCCAAAGAAATCAGAACAGACTGAATTTTTAAAATGTGGGTGACCCAGAACGATACGTGGAACGGGAAAACCCACAGGTCAAAGCCCTGGGCTAGGAGACTTGGACGAGGAGCCTGACGTGGGAGACTGGATTGCTGCCAGGCTGTGGAGAGTGATGAACGTTCAAAGCGGTGCTATCGGTCATCACCTCTGAGCAGGGCAGTGCTGCTTCCGACTCTGCGCGAAATCACTCAGACAGGAGATGTGGGTGCTTTGCAACGCGCACACTGTCCTTGCTTTCTAAGCGGGAGATTAAGTTTCTAGCAGGGTTTGACCAGTAATTTTTCTTGTTCCACTTAGCAGTCCGCTTCACCTACATTTGAAAAATTCGATTCTGTTCAGATCTTCCCCGTCGGCCATGACTGAACCCTTCTCAAAGCCCTGCTAAGCCTTCACAGGCTCCTCTAATTGAAGCATTTACAACTAAATGTAGAGTTAGATATTGGATCAGCCTGAGTTACAGAGTAAAGCAACACAAACCCTGCCCGTGTCTGAATGGAACATGTGATAAGTGGTAAGACTGGGGTGGCAAAGTTCAGTGCTCAACTATTAAACCAAACGCTGGTGGTTCGAATCCACCCACAGGCCCCTCAGAAGAAAGGCCTGGTGATCTACTTCCAAAAGACCAGCCACTGAACACCCTAGGGAGCACAGTTCTGCTCTGACACACATAGGGTCACCATGCATCGGAATCAACTCAGTGGTAACTGGTTTGGTTTTTTTTGGTCTCTTACTGAAAAACAGAAGCCCCACCCTGGAGTTGGGAAGGCCCATACCCTCAGGAACTCTGCATGGAGAAGGTTCTTGAGAACTTGATTGAACCGTTTCTTTTGTGCATTTTCTTCTAAGACCTTTTCCAGAAAGATGCGTATATCATTAATCTGAGTGTTGGCTGGCAGAAGGTTGAGGGCCTAGGGGTAGGAACACAGATGGAAACAGGGTGAGGACCAGGAGTGAGGCTGAGGATCCAGTCCGTTTCTCCATCCTTCTTCTCACTCATGCTTCCCGCGAATGCCCTCTGTCTCCCCAAGAACTGCTAACCTTGGTGGTGTCCAGCTTGCTGTGGTGCAGCTCGAGGACCTGCAGGGCAGCCTGGAGGTTGGCCTGCGGCTCCAGCAGCTCCAGCAGCTCCAGCTTGATCGGCCCCAGGCAGTGAACGCTGGGGGGTGACAGGTACATCCGGAGCAGGGACAGATACACCTGCCTCACACAGATTAGGCCACACCCATCAGGGCCCCAGCGGCCCTACCAGCAACCTTCCCAGAATCCCCAAAACTGACTGGGCCTAAAGATGAAAGCGCTAAAGTAACAGCTGTCATGGAGCATTGAAAACTCACTTTTCACCTTTTTAAAGATATCGGTAAAGTCAAACTGCCAAGTGAAAATGTTCAAAATTAAGGATTTTTTCTGAGAAAAAAACAAAGCCTTGTATTTGTTTAGCATTTTACAGTTTACAAATCGCCACCATCACAAAATGACTCAGAAAGATTTCTTATTTCCTCTGGGCTTTGAAAGCTGAGGCCCTAGCTCTCTTTCGGCAGGTGAAGATCAACCCAAGACGAGACGCTGCATTTCCTATTTCCTGACCTGGCGCTATTAGCATCCTGGGCTGGGTAAGTCTCTGTGGTGTGGGGTTGTCCTGTGCATTGTTTAGCAGAACCCCTGGCCTCTAACCGCTAGATGCCAGCAGCAACAACTGGAAATGTATTCAGACACTGACAAAGCCATGTTTCTGGATGCAGCACACACACACACACACACACACGAGCCTTATCAGAACACTGGACGTTCCTGCTCACCAGGCTGACCGCGTAACTCCTGATACAAGTCAGGACTCCTGAGAGTAAAGGGGCAGGGGTGCTATCAATAATTATGCTGAGATAGCAGGCGTAAACCAGAACTATCCCAAGCGAACCAGGGGAATACGGGCACCCTGCCCCTCAGTACACAAACACAGAACCCATCAGCCCCGCAGAACCATGCTCTGTTTCACCTCAGCAATTCACACCAGTGTCACCTGTAGCTAAACCAATGGGGTTAGGGATGCTAAGGGGGCAGTCAGATGCACACGTGCTCCCTGGGGCCAGAAGGCGCTACTTACATCTTTGTTGCCATTTTTGTTTTGGTCATAATGCTTGTGGCAGTACCTGCAAGGGAGAAAGCAGTGAAACAAGGCCGGAGGGTCACCCAGAGGAGAGGTCATCTAAAGACGACCCGTAAAAGCCAGGGGCCGGCCCAGGGCGAGTCTCACCCCTGCTGCAGAGAGGTGCGGAGATGGCTCTCTAGGTCTCTCACACCTCTCACTTCTCTCCAGGGCCTTCTCTCAGGCTTGCGGGAGGTGGGGTAACAGGTCAACTTACTCCTCAGCCATCCTGGTATCCTTCAAGACGTGGACATAGATGAAGAGGGCTTGTTCGTGTTTGCCCATGCGTCCCAAGAGGAGAGCTCGCTCTTCTAAGAGGCCTGCAAGGAAAGAGGAATAGAAGGGACTGTCGTCACATGTAAGCAAAGGCCAGGGACGAAGTTACTAGGGGAGTGGATACTGGGGCAAAATAAAACAGGAGAAAGTATTATTTTTATTACTTACGATTTTCTCCAAGGAAAAAATTACTAAAATTCTAGAAAGTAGGAGGCAGCCATTTCAGGAAGTATTTCACCTCGTCTGTTTTGTGCTCCCTTATAAACTGGGCAAGAACACTTGTTCAACCGCCAAATGCATGGAAAGCACCCGTGATGTGCCAGGCGCTTCCGCAAGGGAAGCGAACCCTCGGTCTCTGCTGTCACGGAGCTTACACGTCACTCTCTTGGACCGGTTATGCCAAACTGCTAAACAATGAGGCTCATCAAGAACAGGTTTCAACCTGGCGATCGGTGAGCGTGGGGTTCACACCCAGTCATGGGGTTACAGTATCTCAGTCATGGGACAACAGTGAATCTTCAGAGGGGACGAAACAGAACACTGGTCTGAAGACCTGCTTGTCCCCCAGCCCCATCTTCGGGGGAGGTGGAGAACGGTACAGAGACTGGTTTTGGCATTCCCTTCAGCTGAAGACCTGCTTGTCCCCCAGCCCCATCTTTGGGGGAGGTGGAGAACTGTACAGAGATTGGTTTTGGCATTCCCTTCAGCTGAAGACCTGCTTGTCCCCCAGCCCCATCTTTGGGGGAGGTGGAGAACTGTACAGAGATTGGTTTTGGCATTCCCTTCAGCTGAAGACCTGCTTGTCCCCCAGCCCCATCTTCGGGGGAGGTGGAGAACTGTACAAAGACTGGTTTTGGCATTCCCTTCAGCTGAAGTGGCTTCTGGCCACAAGCCACTCACCATCGAAAGGAAAATCACAGATGAGCCGGCCTGGATCGTAGTAGCTGGAAATCTCCAAGAACCTAAGGAGCTTCTGCCGGTATTCTCCCAGCTCTCCCTCCTCCTCTCCAGCAGGAACTGGGGTTTGGCCTTTAAGGAAACAAACTCCACATGGAAGAATGCCATCAGGCAGCAATGACACAAAGAAGCGGGGCTCAATGATGTCACCACAGGGATCAGGAAGACCCACCACGGTGGCTTCCAGCTGGAGTCGTCTTAGTTTATGGTCTATATGATCAGGAAACACCAGCCTGAGGTAAGAACACACGCTGAGCAGAGAAACACTGGCAGGCAAGCCTATTTCTGATGAGCACAGCTGTCATCTTGCAGACAGATCTAGCCTTCCCACCTCCCCCAGGGCGGCTCCCAGTGATGCTCAGAGACGCCCAGATGCAGACGCGAGCTCCGGAATCTGACGTTGCAGGGCTGGGCTGCTCAGCTCCCCAGGCTCCCCTAAAGAACTCCCCACCCACCTGGGCCCACAGAGAAGGGTGAGATCTGCTTCCCGACACCACACAGCACTGCTCGGCTCTGTGCTCGCCTCTAAGACTGGGGGACCGGCTATCTGTGAGAACGGGTACCTGCTGGGAAGGACAGGAGATACTCCTTCATCAGACCTTGCACCTTCTCACAGTACAGCTGGATCAAGCAGTTGTGGAACTGAGAGCCCGTCTCCTTCCAAACGTGGATGACATGTTCCTGAGGCAAGATGCAGACCTGCCTGTACCCTCTGTGTGGACCTGGTTCAGTCACCCAGTCTCCCTACATTTTCTAAGGCCTAACAGGTCCTCTCAGATTATCCCTTCATTAAGCTGTAAAGATTACCAAGGGATAGCTCTTCTAAAACCACCGGGAAATCTCACAATGCAGGCCAGCAACATCAGAAATTATTTTCTTGACTTCCTGTCTAAACTCCTTTCATTAATTTTGTACCATACTCCTCCAAACACTTACATTGCCCACGTAAGTAAAGTTAAGCATTTGCATACTGGCACTTAAAACCTATTTGGTTGTCCTGTGGTCACAGCTGAATTTGGTTATACAAACGCAGCTTTGAATTTTTTTCTCAAACATCATTCTCTTTACCTAGAGTTAGAAGGTATCATCAAAAAGCAAAGTTTCTAGTTTGGTCCACTGGAGTTTCTCTCCTGAGTGGAAGCTGTAATAATCCTCTCCTGCCAATCCTCAAGTGACAACTGACACAAACCCCAAAGTGACCCGCCCAGTGACCAAACCCTGGAGTATAACCTAGGTTCCTAGGTGTGAAGCTTTTTAGTTCAGACCAAAAAACATCTTACCAGGTAAGGAATAGCCAGGCCTTTAAAATTCTCTGTTAAGAAGCCAAGCACGCGATCTCGTGGCAGAGCCTCCACTTCTGGGAGATCTTCGGTAAATATCTGCCAGACAAAGCAGAGTTCTGGCAGCAGAACCAGCTAACTGTAATACTGCCATACGCACACACACACACGTAGGAATCAAGTGGACAGACATTTGGAGGGAGAAGGGTGTGTAAGAAGGCATTTGGATGCAGCCCCTTACTCTGACAGAAGGGACAGGCTCACACAGCTGGTCAGTGACACACAGATCCCAGGGCCCTGGACCTGTGCAAGGCCCCTTGCACGAGACCACACAGTCGTGTCAAGCTCCCCACTGTACTCCTTTAACCACTAGTAAGCTGCACGAATCCATCCTCACCCTCCACCCACTGCCGCCCTGAGTGGATTCAGGACGAACAGTGGTAGCCAGATAAATCAGAGGGAGTCTGTGACCCACCTTCAGGCCGTCTTCTGGGAAGTCTCTCAGCACCCACACTGAGTAGGAAAAAATCAAGTGCAGGTTTTCTGTGCCTAGAGAGGGGGGCAAGGCTTGTCAGCGGTTGAAGTCCACCCTGCGCACAGGACCAAAAGGCAGGCAGGCAGGTCACCCCAGAATCGAGAGAAAACAGCTCTGTCCAAGCACAGCCACTCAGGGCTGCTTGGCTCCATCAGGCTGGCTACACACCAAGCGGCTGGCAGAGTTGACCACTGGGAGGAAGGGGAACCGACCAGCCAGCATGAGAAACGGGGCCCAGGTCCACTGGAATGTGAGCCTTGCCATGCCCTTTGAGAAGCCGCACTCACCCAGGTGCTGCAGGTACTGCACTGTCCTCTCATGGCCTTTCAGGGGGGAGTTGGCTTTCTTGGACTGGTCCACCAGCACCTGCAGAGCTGGCCATGAAGCCCAAGAACAAGCTCGTGAGCCTCTTCCACAAGGCATAGCCACACAGGAGATTTATCACACCTGAGTGGATGTCCCTTGTCAGCATGCAGGAGACCCTCCCAGCTCTAAGAACCCCCTCTTTCCGTTACCCTTCTCGTGAAGCCCTTTCTTCTCATACAGGATTATCAGTTCACTGTACTTGTGCGCCTTCTTCAGCACATGCTCACTCTCTTCGATGTGACAGTGATTGTTCTCCAGACGCAGCAAGGGGGCCACCAGGGCCACGTTGGTCTGCAGAGGAAGCAGGACTTCAGCGGAAACTGCTGCCTGGGGAGCCCACCCTTACGCAGCCCAGGCCTCCTCCAGGCTGAACGGCCAGGGATGTAACCCAAGCAAGAAAAGGCAAAAAACCCTTTTTCAGGACTACGGAACTAGTGCATTTATCGCACATTCATGCTCTTTCTCAGACTGTATTTTGCTTTTTTTGAGGGAGGAGGCTATTTTCTTTGAGGGACAATCTGCTTGCTCACCTTGTAGCACTAACTCCAATTCCACCAGGAAGACCAGCCCCCTGTGAGGTTCTGGACCGATGTTCTGCCTTATCTTCTTACTTCCAGGGAACTCACAGGCACCAACCAAAGACCAGGAGGCTTCCTCATCAAAGATCTCACCCCCACCTAGAGTGTGGTGCTCCCTTCCACTTTCCAGAGCTTTAGGGGCACAGGGGATTCTGGGTACCTCTGGGTGTTGAGGTGACTCACGTGGAGGTAGCACTTGAGCAGGGTGGTGTCAATGATTTGCAACAGCTTCTTCTTGGACTTGATGGTGGGAGTGCCTTCCATGAGCGGGGAGGTGCTGGACTGGTGATCAGAGTCATGCAACTTCTTCACCAACTGACTTCGTTTCTGCAAAGACCATAGATGAGGGCTCAAGGCCAGGACTAAACCGTACTTTATCGCCTCAACTACTGGGTAACTCCAAATACCTCCAAATCAGCTCACACCTATCCACCCTGATCTCACATTAGCATTACAGTTTTTATCAGGGATCAAAATAGATGACTGCCAAATTGCCACAGATACAGTGACGATAATAACAACCGTTTATCGAGCATTTACTGCATGCCAGGCACTGTGTCAAGCGCTTCATACACGTTTTACTGTTTTAAACCTAGAACAAACACAGGGTTGTTATCCCGTTTCACAGGCGAAGAACCCAAGGCACAGGCGTTACACACCTCATGAGTGGTAGAGGCAGGATTCAAACCAGCATCTGTCTGATCCAAAGCCCATGTTCTTTTATTTTTTTAAATCAACTTTATTGAGGTATAATTTACATACAATAAAATGTATCCCTTTTAAGTGTATGTTACACGCACTTTGACAGAGGTATACATGCATGTAATCACCACCCCAGTCAAGGAACAGAACATTTCTATCACTCTGATCACATACTTTGGACATGTAATTAGGAGGGACCAGTCCCTGGAGAAGGACATCATGCTTGGTAAAGTGGAGGGTCAGTAAAAAGAGGAAGACCCTCAACGAAAAGGACTGACACAGTGGCTGCAACAGTGGGCTCAAGCCTAGCAACAATCATGAGGATGGCGCGGGAGCGGGCTGTGTTTCATCCTGTTGTACATGGGGTCACTGGGAGCTGGAACCGACTCGACAGCACCTAACACCAACATCACGCCGATCTGTTTTCTATCACTATAGATTGATTTCTGTGTATTCTAGAACTTCCTAGAAATGGAATCATCCAGTTTGTACCCTTTCATCTCTGGCAAAGACCAAGGTCTTATATGCTCTAATATCTCTCTAGAACAGTACCAGCGTTGGCTACCTTCACGTATTAAAACGTCAGTGGCGAAGACGAGGGAAGAACGTGTGCTTCTAAAGCTAAGACACTGGCAACACAGGGCCTTCAACAATGCCACAGGCTTGGGAGACATCATGCCCCAGGAACCTTCACTTGGCATGTGGGCCACACAGAGTCCAGGCAAAGGTGAGTCTGCGTGCTCTTTGCAGGCTCCCAGACACAGCTGGGTATCCCGGAGCCCAACGTCGAGGAAGTGCCAAGGCTACGCATGCCGGAGCAGACCTGCTGACCCAGAGGCAGGGGCGGGAAGCCAGCATTGCCATTTTCCCAGTCATACTGCTCAGTGCCTACACAGGGACCTCTTACAAAGGTCTGAAGGACATTCATGGGGAGAAAAATTCATCAAGTTTCCAACTCTGAATGAGTCCACAGGAAACAAACTATAGCTTTCTGTGACAGAGATTAGCGGCCTAAGAGGCTTCGATGGAGACGTTAGTTTTAACTGACTTTAAAATTTCATTTATCTGTCCATAACAGTAAATAGAAAAATATTTAAATCTAAATACACCATCTCCCCTAAAACACACTGTAAAAGAATATTTATTGACAGGGAAGAACTTTTATAATATATGGTTAAATTTAAAAACTAAGCTATAAAATAAAATAGTTTGATATTTGTTTGTAATAAATAAACAAAAATGAATTCATAAATACATACAAAAGTTTGGAAGGACAACACTAAAATGTTAATTATCTCTGGGTGGTAGAGTTAAAGATGATTTGTATTTTCACTTTGTACTTTTCTGGGTTTTCCAAGATTTCTGCATAGAGCAGGCATTTTTTTCGAACAGTATGTATTTTTACAAAAAAGTTTGCTTTAAAAAACTTTTTTCTATCAACTAAAATTTACCCTTTTTAGTTGCTGTAACAATTAAATGTGAAATCACTAGAAATCAAGAGTGTTTCCCAGTATTAGGATTTGATAAAACAAACACAGCTCAGCAGTACTGTTAAGTTGGGAGAAGAGAGAGAGAAACTGTGTCCCCCTCAGACTCCCCAGAGCATCGTGTATGAATGCCTGTGGCATTACAGAACACTGCATTTCCTGACGTAGAGACACAGGTACTGCAACTCCTAGGTAAACTCTTCTACACACCTCTGTGTCATACCTACCTGGGTCAGGTAGTCAATCAGAGCTAAGTGAGCCTTCTCCAGCTCAGCCCCAGAGAGCACAGGCAGTGGGTTAGGATACTGCAGCTGCTTCCTGTAGTCGGTGGGCAGCAGGTCAGGGTACAGGCCCATCACGTGGGTGGGATCTACACGGAAGGGAAATATGAGTCCTCTGGAAAGGAGGCCACCCACTGAAGGAGAAACTAAATGAAAACAAGACCACTACTGTAACAAAGTAAGTCCCAGACTGGCTGATTTAAAGGAACGACTCTAAGTTTTATGAAAACGTCTGGTACTGTACACTTCGAATTGAGCACATTTTGTGCGTGGATTTCACTAAAATGTCAAAAAAAAAAATGGCACGACTGAGACACAGACACATGAATAGAATTAGAACTGAATATTTATCAACTCTTAAAGGTGGAGGAGAAAAAATTTCCAAAGAAAATCTGGTAAGATATCAAGACTTAATAGTAAAAAACTTATATATCAAAAAAGGAGTACTATATTTTTGTGCAAACAATGTGCGTCTTCTATGATTGTCTGCCAGCCGCACCCTCCCCCGTAAGGTGTTTCTGTAAGCACTGCTATGCCAGTTTTTTCAGCTGGCAAACAAACACAGAAGGGGTGCGTTATTTGCACAAACATACGGTATTACTAAAAAAATAAATAAAACAACGGATTAGGGAATATACTTGCAGCATATATGGCAAGAGGGGTAAGGTCTTGATTATATAAAACAAATTCATACAAACTGGTAACAAAACGTAAGATTTCATTTGATAAATGTGCAAAAGACATGACAACTGACAAGAGAAGAACATGAATAAACAGGAAAATGTTCCACTACATTAAGAATCAGAGCAGCACACATTACAAATGTCAAAGAGGTGACCATTTTAGATCTATCTAATTAGCGAAAAAATTATTTTTCTATGATACTACCCAGTACTTATGATACTGTGAGACTAAATCAGTCTTAAAATGCTGCTAAGGCAGTAAACATTGCTACCTCAATACTGAAAAAAGGAAATAAGTTGCTGTTTGCTGTTAAGAATGGGGATGGATGCTGGGCTGCCTCAAATTGATCAACGCCTCCCATCGTTCCTCTGAACGAACCCAACTGGGGCATCTGTTGTCAGCGCACCACCGGCTCTTCAGGAAGACACCGGGAGAGCGAAACCGCCATGGTAACTTGACCCTTTTCCCATGTACCAACTTTCCCCGTTCCTAGAACGCTGGTATCATTTCTCCCTGTCCCTCCCAGTTCCCCCTCCCTCCATTAGTTCCTCATCCCACTTGTTACCTGTGCCAAGCTTGGCAAACACCTGCATGGACTCATCAAAGCGCTTCTGGCAGAAGAGGTTGAAGGCATACAAGTTCTTGATGTGATGGATCTGCTGCTGCTTTTCACTGTCAGAATCTTCTTTCATTTCCTAACCAGAAAGTAGGTAAGGGCACACTCACTCAACAAATATTTATTCAGTAACCTGCATGGTATTAGACAATGTCTTAGTTATCTAGGGCTGCTATAACAGAAATACTACAAGTGGACGGCTTTAACAAACAGAAATTTATTCTCTCACAGTCTAGGAGGCTACGAGTCCAAATTCAGTGCATCAGCTCCAGAGGAAGGCTTTCTCTCTCTGTCAGCTCTGGGGGAATGTCCTGTCATCAATCTTCCCCTGGTCTAGGTGCTTCTTGGCGCAGGGACCCCAGTTCCAAAGGACACGGACCACTCCTGGCTCTTCTTTCTTGGTGGTATGAGGTCCCCATCCTCTCTGCTCAACTAGCTCTTGTATATCTCAAAAGAGAGTGACTCAAGATACAACCTAATCCTGCAGATTGAGTCCTGCCTCATTAACATAACTGCCTCTAACTCTGCCTCATTCCAGGGCCCCTGTTAACATCATAGAGATTAGGATTTACAATATATAGGAAAATTACATCAGATCACAGAATGGTGGACAATGCTGGGAATCATGGCCTAGCTAAGTTGATACACATTTTTGGGGGACACGATTCAATCTATAACACTCTACCCTTTGGCCCCCCCAAATTCATGTCCTTGCCACATGTAAAACACATTCATCCCATCATATCATCCCTAAAGTCTTAAATCAACTCCAAGTTCAAATTCCTTCCTGGGGCAAAATTCCTCTTTATCTGCGAAATCTAGAATAAAAGTTATCTGCTTCCAAAGTACAATGGTGGAACAGACACAAGGTAGACATTTCCATTACAAACGGGAGAAGTTGGAGAGAAAGACCGGATAACAGGCACCAAGCAAATCAGCAGAACACATTACCTTAGCTCTCAAGGTTTGAAAATATTCTTCTGTTCTCTGAGACCATTTAGGTATTGGCCCTGCCATCCAGGCTCTGGGTGTTGGCCACATTCTCTGGATTCTGGGTGGAGGACCCGGCCTTGAGCTTCAGCTCAGCCTTCCAGGCCCACTGGGACAGCAACTCTGCTCCCTTGCATTTGGACGGCCCCATTCTCCTAGTCTGAGTGGCGACTCCACCCCCTTGGCCCCGGTAGGCACCGTTCTTCTGTCCCTTGGGCATGGCACCCTCACCTCCTTAGCTTTGGGCAGCTGACCTGGCCCCATTCCACTGGCACTCATGAAAGCAGCCCCACACTCTGGAATGAGAACCCAGTTGGTGAAGACCTGACCCTTTGAAACCTAAGAGGCTATCACCCCACGCTTTGAAACCCCAGAGGCCATTGTTCCACCCTTTGAGGCCCCAGAGGTCGTGGCCCTACCCTTTGACACTGAGGCAGCTCTGCTTCCTGTGTTCCTTGTCTCTTCAGCTTCTGTTTCCTGGTTTCCTGGCCTCTCGGCCCCTTGGGCCAATCCAGCATCTGCCCTGCTTGGACAAGTGTTCCAAAGCTCTTTAGCTCTACCAGTAAGTGCCTGGAGGCACCCTATTCCGCCAGTAAACCTCGGCCCAAAGGCACTCAGCTCTCTCGATCAGTGGGTCAGCTCCCATGCTATCTTGTGCCAGTCTCCTGGTTCTGCTGCTGCCGTTTCTCTCCTGCTGCTTCTTGCTGTCTCTGCTGTCTCTGGTATCATAGCTCTCCTCACTTCCGAGTCCTCACTAGAATTGTCTTTGATGTCCATAATTCCACCAATAGTCTCTTCAACGCAAGCTAGGCTTTTACTATTAGGCATTTGAAAACTCTTTCAGCTTCAACTCATTAATTCCAAAACCACTTCCATTATAGGTATCTGTTAGAGCAGCACCCCACTGTTCTGGTACCAAATTCTGGTGCTGCTATAACAGAAATATCACAACTGGATGGCTTTAACAAACAGAAATTTATTCTTTCACAGTTTAGGAGGCTAGAAGTCCAAATTCAATGCGTCAGCTCCAGGGGAAGGCTTTCTCTCTTTGTCAGCTTTGGGGGAAGGTCCTTGTCATCAATCTTCCCCCGATCTAGGAGGTTCTTGGTGCAGGGACCCCAGGTCCAAAGGACATGCTCCATTCCTGGCTCTTCTTTCTTAGTGGTATAAGGTCCCCCTCCTCTCTGCTTGATTCTCTCTTTTATATCTCAAAAGAGATTGACTCAATATACAATTTAATCCTGTAGATTGAGTCCTGCCTCTAATCCTGCCTCATTAACATCATAGAGGTTAGGATTTACAACATGTAAGCTAATCACATCACATCACAAAATGGTGAACCACCACACAATACTGGGAATCATGGCCTAGTCAAGTCAACACACATGTTTGGGGGACCCAGTTCAATCCATAACAGACAATATCCCAGGAGGTACAAATGCTAAAATATACAGAACAGCTACATAGTACCTGGCTCACAGTCTGAACTGGAAGACTGATAAGTAAGTACACAATTAAAATACACCAGGGTTTCTACAAAATACCTGACCACTACTCCTCAAAACTCAGAGCTGCCAAGCTCAGGAATAAGAAAGAAATTGCCACAGACCAGAGGACGGGAAGACGTGACAACTAAACGCAATGTAACGTCCTGGATTTGATCCTGGAACAGGAAAAGGATACTAATGGAAAAACTGGTGAAATCTGAAGAAAGTCTGGATTTAAAAACCACAATAACAAAAACAAACAAGGAAATAACAACAACAAAAATCAAACAAGGTAAGTGTGATGTTAAACATGTGGGGCAGAACTCAATGCAACCTGAGTGGTGGGTCAGGAAGCAATGCCAGGAGGAATCTAAACTGAGACCTAAAGTCTGGGCTGGAGTCAGGCAGATGGGGCTGAGCAGGTGACAGAGGGGCGGGGAAGAGGAGAGTGCTCCAGGCAGTGAGGACAGCACACGTGCAAGGTCCTGTAATGACAGAGCGCACATGGCACACTCAAGGAGAGATATTTACCACAGCTGGCACAGTTTGGAAAAGGCCCTGTTCACAGTAAAAACCAAATAAATGGTAGCTATTATCATTATCTTTGTTTCTTCCTTATAACCATCTTTTTTCCTTATATCCCTTTTAACCAATCTTTAGTAAAATTCTCTCCTTCAAAATGTTTTGCAATTTTTTCCCTCCTTTCCACTTTCTTTTCTGCTGCCACCACCCTCGGCCAGGCCATCCTCCCTGTGCGGCCACATCTCTCCAACTGCCCTACTCAGTGCTTCACAGGCTCTCGTAACCTGCTGCTGGACTCTCCAGCTTACTTCCCGACATTCAAACCACACCTTCAGCCCCAGTCAGGACGGGCCCTAATGCCCTGCAATATGCCACACTTGTTTTCACTCCTTTAACTCCCTCCTGCTCTTCAACGAAGCCAGAAAGCTCTCCTGTGCTCCTGATCCTAACCTTACCTATCCGTAAAGGCTGACTCAAGTGTTCAAACGCCGATGCCTTTTCCAGCCCACAGTGAACTGTCCCTCCTCTAACATTTCACTTCATGCTTTGTCAACACCAGAGATGAGTATGTAATTGCCCTCTGCAAGTTTTGTGGATTTTTTTTTATCTATTTAAATAAAAGATGGGTTCTTCAAGGGCTATAAGAAGGTCAGAGCACATAGCAAGCATGAGGCTAGAAAAGAGAGGAGAAAATGGGACCTCATTACTGTCTCCTCTACCAAAGATTAAACAGATAACTGCAGCTGAAGATCAGTGAAAGATCCTGAGACCTTCCTGTTGGAAACAGACACTAAAGTAGCGATGTACTACATGATACACTTTCAATAAAGCTCAATAAAATTCAAAAACTAAATATATTTACGTATACATATACAAACAAAGGAGCCCTGGTGGTGCAGCAGTTAAGAGCCCAGCTGCTCACCAAAGGTCGGCAGTTTGAATCCACCAGACGTTCCTTGGAAGCCCTATGGGGCAGTTCTACTCTGTCCTACAGGGTCGCTATGAGTTGGAAATCAACTTGACAGCAATCGGTTTTATACACAGAAAAGGTTTAAAAAAAAATTTTTTTAGAATGATAAACACAAAATTCAGGACAATGGTTGTGTCTGGATGGGAGGCAGAGGCTTGGGATGGGTGGAGCACAGAGATATATAAGTTATTCTTCTTGGATAAGATGGTTGGTTCATCAGTATTCATTGTATTATTTAAAAAGTAAAAATATAAATGAAAATAAAGTAATGCATGAAGGGGAAGAAAACAGAAGCTGCTAAAATTAAATGCCCCAAGAAAGAATCTTTATTGCATATTAAACATCTTTAACAATTAAGACTAGACTTTTGTTTTAAATCTATAACTTACACATCCAAAATAAATGCTGTTCTTTAAAAAATAGTCACCAAAGGTGACTATATACATATTTATTCCAAAAAGATGTAGTCACTGCTTTCCTTTCAGAAGCAATTTACAAGTTACCCTAGAAACTAAGTTTTACTATTATCTTCATAAAAACGTCTTCTCTTTTACCTAAATTAGCCACTGTTTGACTAGGTTAGGCTTACTAAGTGAGGCTCAGAATGACTTCTGGTGATTTCCTAAAATCAAATCCACCCTTTACAGATGACAATAATCGTCCCTGAGGATGTTCAAAAGAGCGAGATACGGATTCGAAAGCCAGTCTCCCAAAGTGTTTGGCAACAGAAGCGTGACTGGAACAAAAGTATGGCCACTGCTCAGCTGTGAACAATATCCCATGCAAACATTAAAGGAGAGTAACACTCATAAATAATAAGACTGCAGCCTTGTTGAATGCAACAACCTGAGGTGGTTTCCATGTACTTACAGAAGGCCAAACACAGCAACCACCACTGAAAGGGATTTTGAGAGGCCCTCTAGTTCTTGCATTCAACTAGAAATGGCCAACTCTTTCCCGTAGTATAATTTTAGGGACAAGAATATAATCTTACATTTATGACTGTTACTATACTCTAATGTTTGTGTTGCTTTTAATTTTTCCAGACTATATCATACTTACTAAATTACTTTAGTCATCCATTAATTCTATGAGGTACTGTTGTTATAAGTGGCATTCATCCTACATGTGACAGATAGGCAAACTGAGAAAGTGAAATGGCTGAGAGTTACATAGATATTTCAGGGCAGAGTCAGACTTGAATACAAGCCCCCTGACTTTCAGCTCTGTACTGACTCTCCTAGTCCAAAATAAGCATGAACATCTACACCCAAACCACTCACTTCCAAGACCACAGCAGACTCACACCCAAACTTCAGGAATACGACTTACTGCCAGCTGCAGAGCCAATTCAAACTGCTTGTCCTGGAGAAGCTGTTGGATTTGGGTCGCCATGGGAACAGGAATCAGTCTCCAAACAAAATGATTGCTGGCCACGTAGATAATGTTGGATCTGCAGGCAGGAGCCAGAACATTAGCAAAGGAGTGCGGGCTATACGACGACACTTAGGGGATTTTAACGCTTTGGGATAATACAGCAGCCACAGCAGAGAAAGGAATGCCTCACCCTCCCGAGGTAATGAAACGAGGCCTCTGCAATTCAATGCTCTGGACCAGAAGCCTTGGCTCAAACGTTCGGATCTCCACATAGCGAGGTAACACCGCAATGATGTAGGGAGGCTGGTGCTCTGTGCGAGAGAGAACATACTGTGACGCAGCTCTGGTCTAGGGTCTCGGGCTATTCATGGAGGGTTTCAGTTGCCTGTTCACAGCTGCATTTAAATGGGATCCCCAAAAAGCCCACTAGTCAAACACAAGCCAGGATTCTATACTGATACAGAAAGAAGAAATGTTGCTTTGCCTGAATGATGCTAAGAGAAGTCTCCTGCACAACAAGGATGCATCCAGCTGTGCCAAGAGTAACTGATCCACTCCTCTTGCTTCTCCCAAAGGACTGGGTGAAAGTTTCACCTGCTCCTTTTTCATCTGTAACAAAGCTAGACCAAAGGCCAGCTGCAGCTGACCCTAAGAACAAGGTTCCATAACTTCTTCTTGCATTGTCTTACAAAGGACAAGATGAGGGTAACTTCTTTTCCCTAAAATTATGCCACAGGAAAGAGTTCCACATTTCTGGTCAATGTTGCCTACTTGAGAATTTCACAGGGAAAAGATGCAAAAATCCACTTGATGCTGCTGGTTCACAGAGAAGGTATCTGGATGGAATTCTCCGGGAAGCTATTTTGTATTGATACTTGCTGTGAGCCTTACAACTGCTTTCCTCTATTCCACAAGCTAATAAAAACACTCTCATTCAACTATCCATGATGCAAATTTTACTCTCGTTGAGAAAGGCCCTGTTTAAATTCTTAGGTTAGACCCTTGTCCCCATTCATTCTTCCTCTATCTTCCTGAAAATAATGTTAACCATATCCACTCTTTCTCACTGTACTTTCTGATAGGCATGTGACAATCAAAAGCTTACAATGCTGGATGAAGCAGAATAATCCCACAAAAGTGCCAAAGATGTCAGTACGTGAAAAGCAGAGCTGACTCAACGTGAAATCCTTGCAAGGAAAGTCTTAGTTTGAGATTGTATGGTAAAGGAATGGAGCCCTGGTGGCACAGTGGTTGAGCACTCAGCCGCTAACTGAAAGGTCAGTGGTTTGAACCCACCAGCCGCTCTTCAGGAGAAAGATGTGGCAGTCTGCTCCCCTAAAGATTACAGCCTTGGAAACCCTATGGGGCAATTCTACTCTGTTCTATAGGGTTGCTGCGAGTCAGAATCGACTTGACAGCAACTGGTTTGGTTTGGTTTGATTTTTTTATTGTAAAGGAAATTTAACACAAACAGAGGGAATTTAGAAAATAAGCAACACAAAATATCTTTTAAAATGCAAAAACTCAGAATAAGTCTGAACGAAGCCCTGCTTTACTTTACAATGACCTTTGAAATAACTTTGCCGTCTGTATAGTCCATTAAATAGAATTTCACCAACTTAAAAATAATAGAAGTATTTTCTATGACTGAATTCCGTATTATACCAAGAACCAGTGAAAAATGAACCACTAGGTGGCACAGTTATCATACAGAAATTTAATCTCAAAGAATATGTTGATAAAAAGTTTCTTAGTGAGGGTAATTTGCTATCAATTTTTTTCTTACTTCTCTATTTTCTAATAAAAAGTTTTTCATATTTGCAATATATACTCTAAACAACAGTGCAATAAAGTCTCAAAGCTAGAAGGGAACTCAGAAATGAGGAAACAGAGGCCTAAATAGTATTTCCACGGATTTGAGTGTTTTTGTGTTATTATGCTATCTTTCATATTATGAAAAAAGTAGAAAAATAAAAAGCATGTTGTTTTGTATTTGGATTTTTCTCTTTTCTTTTCCCTTTTGGGCTGGCCTCATTTTGAAGTTAGTACAATTTTCTTCAGTGTTAACTTGTTTAAATATGTAAAATTTCTCTTTTTTAATCTGGCCTACTTGAAAAAGGTCTGCTCTAATTAAAAAGGTAATCTATAAAGAAATCCTTCTGGTTGTCATATTTTAATAAATGTTCAGCCTCCTCAACCCTTGGACAATAGAGATGTTCTGTGGGTTTCTTTATATCCTCAAAACTTAGCAGAGTTTGACTGATGCACGGAAGTCATACAAGAAAGGTCCAACGGGGAAACTAATGGATTTATTCAGCAGCATCATTCTTCCTTATTTACCAGGAGGCTTACCGGGGTGGTTCAGGCACTGCAGTATGCAGGAAGAATTCAAAGTGCACCAAGACATGAGTCCAGGCCTCAAGGAGCTCTTACACAAGCAGAGGAAACAAACAGCTCAGGACAATTCGGTGGGACAGTGTGCGTGCCAGGCAGATAGCTGAGAGGGCTCTGGAGGCACAAAGGCAGAAGTGACTAGTTCTGCCTGCGGGTCAGCCAAGACCTCCCAGAGGAAGTGCCCCTAAGCGGGGCCTCATCGCACGAGCAGGCTGTTAACGGGCAGAGCAGAAAGGACGGGCAGCGGCACCAACAGCGGCAGAGCTGGGGAAGCCACACAGACTGGAGCTGGGCCACGCTGCCAAGATGAGAGCAGAAAAGCAAATGAAGTTTAGAATGCGCACCATTCTCATGTTTGGTCTTCTGCCTGTCAGAGGCGATTCTCCCCACCTCACCTAGAAAGAACGTTCTCTCCCTCACAGTGGTAAGGCACAGAAACTTTTCTGAGAAACACTGCTAAGGGTGCGGCGACACTAACACAGGTTTTTCAACAGGAACTCTCCTACGGGAGAATCAGAGACACACGTAAGCACATTACGTGCATCTTCATCTACTACTGCGCCAAGGCTCCTTTTCTGAAAGGAAAACAAAGTCCTCTGTAACATCATGAAGACTCTCCTGATGCTATCAGCCCCTCAAACCTGTTCATGTACAGAATCTTGGGCCTTACAAAACACTATCCTTTCCACTCATCTTCCTTCTGGTCTGTTCATCGCTCACGACCACCAGAATAACTGCCCTAGAGCACAATGCTTTTATCAAGACAGCCTACCAGTTAGAAATCTGCAGGCTCTCAGGCGTCTGCACAGACCTCTGACAACCGGCCTGTTAACAGTCCTCCATAACTCAGACCACCTGTTTCAGCCACATCAGTCTCCTTAATGGCCTCTCAGGAAGCAGCATGTCTTCTGCATTTCCACTCGTCCTTCTTCAAGCCAGGTCTCAAGCTCCCTGCCTGGCCTAGTCCAATCTTACTTCCACAGTGAAACCTGTCCTGACTCATTAAACAATGAACTTCCCTTTCTGTGAACGACTGAAGCTTAGCTCAGCCAATTTAACACCTGCTTAAGTAGTGGCTTAGTTTGTCTCTTCATCCAAGATGTAATCCTTGTCTCCCCACTTAGCATTGTTCGAGACAGAAAGTATGTCTGTATTCCCTACTCCAAAGCAGTAACTATTTTAATAACGCTCATTCTTCTGCTATTCATAGCACAGAATATTGAATATAGCATGGACTGTCTGCCTTGGAAGAAATACGACCAGAATGCTCCTTAGAAGCAAGGATGGCGAGACGACATCTTACATACTTTGGACATGTTGTCAGGAGGGATCAGTTCCTGGAGAAGGACATCATGCTTGGCAAAGTAGAAGGTCAATGACAAAGAGGAAGACCCTCAACGAGAGGGACTGACACAGTGGTTGCAACAATGGGCTCAAGCATAACAACAATTGTGAGCATGGCACAGGACTGGGCGGTATGTTGTTCCGTGGTACACAGGGTCACTAGGAGTCAGAACCGACTCGATGGCACCGAACAACAAGAACATTCTTCTGACTGAAAACGAATTACTGCCACAGCAGTCATACACTTCTAGGGAACACCATCGCACACATCTGTGAGCCTGAGGCAGGCTTAGGAACAGAAACTCCTAATGTCTAGGAAGACAGAATGATAACTAAATGCAGTTCGTATCTCTAAGCCACAAAAGCAACAATAGCAACAATAATAACCACATCAAAAACTCTTCATTATTGAGTTACATGTATGTTAGCAATAAATATGGATTTTCCCCTAATTTCCAAATGTTGTCTACTTGGCCCAGGACACAATGAAATCATTAAAAAGAAGTTAGAAGAAAAATATGTTTTTAAGAAGTAAAAATATCAGTAAATAATCCCTTCCTAAAAGCAGAGATGAGAAGTTTAGGAGGTAGAAAATCGAAGTCAGTGGTGGTGAAACAATATGCGTAGCAACAGCAAGAATGGCAACTCAACGTGAAGAGTGTAACCAACACCATCAAACTGTACGCGTACAGGCTGTCGGATGTTTTCACCAAGTAATAATAATAATAATCAATTCCTAAAATGGATATTGTCTGCTTCCATTTTCCCCTTTCTGAGGGAAAACTGGGTTTCCCACAAAAACCATAATATCCAGTTTTTTCTTCTACTTTTTTCTTTCTTTTTTACGTATATTTTGCTTTTTATTGTACTTTAGATGAAGGTTTACAGAACAAACTAGCTTCTCGTTAAACAATCAGTACACATATTGTTTTGAGACATTGGTTGCCAACCCCACGACATGTCAACACTCTCCCCTTCTTGACCTTGAGTTTCCTATTAGCAGCTTTTCTGTCCCCTCTTGCCTTCTTGTCCTTGCCCCTGGGCTGGTGTGCGCATTTAGTCTCATTTTGTTTTATGGGCCTGTCTAATCTTTGGTTGAAGGCTGAACCTCAGGAGTGACTTCATTACTGAACTAAAAGAAACACTCTCGGTGTTTCTCCAGCCTCTGTCAGACCAGTAAGTCTGGTTTTTTTTTCCATAATACCCTAAAGAACTCATCTACTTATAAGGGGAAGTGAAAGTGAATGACATAACCCAATCCAAGTCTGCTAAAGCTAATGAATGGGACTCCATTCTGCAAGGATTCCATTCAACCCTGACTCAAAGTTGGGAAGAGCAGCTACTGCTGGTCCTCACCCATAGCAACTGGTATGTCCGTCCAGTTCAGGGCACATTTCTGTGTGCAGATGCCCTCCTCATTGAGCACCACGGTGAGATCATCCTGACCCACGGCCACTTTTCCATCTGCCAGAGGTGCAACTAAGGGCTCCAGTTGTTTTCCTGTTGGAAAGAGCTCTTTGATAGATCCCTTTCCATCCACCTACAAGAAGACACAAAGTGAGTTACTTAGCATTCCCTGGCCAGAGGCATAAACATGGCCTGGAAAAAATTCAGACAAAACCCAAAAGCTGGAGAAGCCAATAATATTCTTTGTTCAGCATAGGGAAAGATTATAGAGTTGGTTATGACAAACTCTGTTACAATCAAAAGCAGAACCAGTTCTGTTTTTCTCTAACACAGAGAAAAGCATCCAGCCTGGCAACTGACAACACCAAGTGCTAGCAAGGATGCAGAGCAACTGGAACTCTCATACACTGCTGGTGGGAATGCAAAAGGACCCAGCCATTTTGTTTGCCGGTTGTTGGTTTCTTATAAAGTTAAATATACAGTTACCATATGACCCAACAATACCATTCCTAGGCATTTGCCCAAGAGAAATGAAAATTTATGTTCACACAAAAACCTGTATGTGAATGCTTATAGTAGCTTTATTCATAATTGCTGAAAATTGGAAACAACTTTGTCCTTCAACTAATGATTAGATAAACTGTGGTACATCCATACAGTGGAATTCTACTCAGCCATAAAAAGGAATAAACTACTGACACACGCAACTACGTGGATGAATCTCAAATGCATTATGCTAATGAAAGCCAGACTCAAAAGGCTACATACTGGACGATCCATTATATGACTTTCTGAAAAAGGCAAAACTGTAAGAGACAAAGAGTAGATCAGTGGTGACCAGAGCTTGAGAAGCAGGAAGAGGGACTGACTTCAAGGGGACAGCGTGTAAGAACTTTGTGGGGGCGATGGAACCGTTCTAAATTTTGACTGTGATGGTGGTTACACAACTCTAGGCATTTGTCAGAACTCAGAACTGTGTACCAGAAAGAATGAATTTTACCTAAATAAACAATTTTTGAATAGTGTGGTCCTAAAGCAACACTTTCTACCCTCAGAAGACTCCAGCCTCAAGAACGTGATGACAGCGTCCAAGGTCATCAGAGGAACGAGCCCTACTCATCAGTCTATGGAACAAACAGTCTGTCAATCTCTTTATATATGCATACTGGAGAAAAAATGCATTCTAGTAGGCAAATTGGGAAGAAAAAGCTTAATGTCATGGAAAGATATTTACCACTTATGTTAAGAGAAAACGCAGGTTATAAAACAATGTGTATAACATGACATTTTTGGAAAATAGGGTGGAAGCCCATATACCAAAAGGTTAACAGTGATTATCTCTGAGTGGGGGAATTATAGATGATTTGCACTTCCTTTGTTTTTCTTATCTATATGTTCTTATTTTCTGTAGTAAACGCATGTAGCTTCTGAAATTAAAAAAAGTGAAAATAATTTCTGAAAACAAATATACTTTACTTATTACTAAAATTAGTTTATAATTCCTGAGCACTGAAAGCTCAGGGCAGCAGCCCATGATAATTGTGTCAGACAGAGACAAAAAACCCAGAGTTAAACCTGTCCCAATAATTAGATACACCATCTGGAGAATTCATTACGTAGAGAACTGAGAGCTGACTCTGCCTGGCTTAAGTTACACAGATATCTTGCTTGTGGAAAAAGCTGAGAGTATGAAAAATAACTAAAAATACAAACAAACCCTGTTATGCAAAGCTCTACCTAAGGCAGTCTCTTGCATTACGGTTGAGAAGCACATAATCATCTTCCCAAGGTAAACTGACGATATCTGCAAAATAATAAGGCTTTACCCTTATTAGGTAGTAGTCCCGCTTGAAACCCACACAGATAGAGTTTTCACACCACGCCATGGACTTGGGCACGTCTGGTACACTGAAGTCCCCCTGAAGAAAGAGATTAAGGGTTCAACTGGAAAGATACTAAAAGAAAAAAATCACGACCATCCTGTTACTCCATCTCACTCTGTAAAACATCACCCTCGCCACAGCATAAGGTGAGAAAATCACCCATAATGAAGATATCGGCTACCCATTAACTGGTCAAGGTATATGTGGAAAAGGTGGAAGCCCACTTTGAACTAAACCAATCCATATGGAAATTGTAGAATTGTACTCCCCATGCCTCTGAAGACCAGAAGACTTAGATACGTGGGCATGAACAAGCTCCCGTGCATTTCCTGCCACAGTATTCATCTGAGGAGAACTATAAGACTAGAGTACTGTACTTCCCTAGAACTGAACAGGAAGTCTTTCAAGCCATGAGTGAACTACAGCAGCAGCTCCCACACCAACCCATGGACCAGATAACAATGGACCTCACCTGCAGTTCATGAAATTCTCTGTCCTTCCAGAAATAGAGCTGCAGCTTCTTTTTCACAGCCACACACATCCGCAACACCTCCTCACCAGTATCTGTGTGCTGGAGAGACACCCAGAGAAAATGAAGATGTGCAGACCATGGCTCCACAACCGAATTAAAACTAAATTAGAGGTGTTCTGCCTTAAGTGGCTACGAGTCTGAAAATCCTCTGGAATATAAGTCACACTGTCAGGAAAGCTGAGCAGAACGCCATTCTCTAAGATGTACTCAGAAACAACCAGCTGCAGAGCACTTCCTCCCCAGGGCCGCTGGCCAGGGACGCCAGCACCAGAACACTCAGAATTCAGAGAGGAACATCTCGGGGCAGGCCTTCACCTACAGCACTGCTTCCTCCTTGTTTTCCCTTAACTGTTTCTTGCTCATGGCTGTCAGTACATGATGGGCCAGAGAACAGCAGGGGTCAGTGAGAGCAGGCCCACTTTCACCCTCTTAAAAGAGTGGTGGGAAAGAAAATGTTTAGGCATAAAGCAAAGCAGTGTCAACAATGCACAAATGCTAAAACGTGATCAGAATTGAGGAGAAGAGTCAGGTAGATTTTGAAGAAAGTAAGGATGATGAATCGGCAAAAATAAGGAGTGACGTCTTTTTGGAATAATGACAACTCCCTAAAGACAAAGACCATAGTCACATGTTTAGAACAGGAATCCATTTAATGCCCTATAATTATGTTTACAATATTGTTACAGTCTTGATTCTGCACTAATGGCTTATCCATGGTGAGCACTCTGACCCCTGGTCATCTGCCTCCAGCCATACAGATATGTGGTGCTCATCACTCAGTACACACACACAGAATGCAATGGTTCAACTCCAGACAGCATACTGAGGAGGATATTTCAAAAACACAATCCAAATGTTCTACAGTCAACCCTGGTGAGTAGCATCTGGGGTCTTAAAAGCCTGTGAGCAGCCATGTAAGATACTCCACTGGTCTCATCCCTTCAGGAGCAAGGGAGAATGAAGAGAACGGGATACAAGGAAAAGATTAGTCCAAAGGACCAATGGACCACAGCTACCAAGGCCTCCACCAGACTGAGTCCAGTACAGCTAGATGGTGCCCGCCTACCTCCACTGACTGCTCTGACCGGGATCACAACAGAGGGTTCTGGACAGAGCTGGAGAAGGATGTAGAACAAAATTCTAACACACACAAAAAAAGACTAGATTTACTGGCCTGACAGAGACTGGAGAAATCCTGAGAGTATGGCCCCTGGGCACCCTTTTAGTTCAGTGGTGAAGTCACTCCCAAGGTTCACCGTTCGGCTGGGGACTAGACAGCCCCGTAAAACAAAATGGGACTAATGAGGCACAGCAGTCCAGGGACAAGGACTAGAAGGCAGAAGGGGACAGGAACGCTGGTGATACGGAACCCAAGGTTGAGTAAGGACAGTGTTGACATGTAGTGGTATTCTTAACCATTGTCACAGGGCAGTATGTGTACTGTTTAATGAGAAACTATTTTGTTCTGTAAACCTTCATCTAAAGTGAGAATAGCAGCACAACTGGAAGAATGTAATCGACATCACTGAATTGTACATGTAGAAATTTTTGAAATGGTGTACCTTTGGCTATGTATATTTTCACCAAAAAAAAAAAAAAACGTCCTCCAAGGCTGAGAAGGGAGCATGTTAACATGTCGTAGGGTTGTTAACCAATGTCATAAAACAATATGTGTACTGACTGTTTAATGAGAAAATATTTGTTCTGTAAACCTTCACCTAAAGTACAATTAAAAAAAAATACAATCCGAAATCAAGTATTTCTTGAGTCTCTGCTGGGTTTGGGTTAGCAATGCCATTATTCCCATCTGACGGCAGGAACAGTGTAGGACAGATCGTATCGATGAAAGCACAAAGCCAAATTTCATCTTGCCCACACTTACCTGGAGGTCACAGGTGAACAGTGACGCTCCCTTTGCCTTTGACACCGTAGTGATTTGTTGAAATGTCAATAGGTCATGGACATAAATGTTATTTTCTGTTTGGAAGAGTGTAAAACATTACTATAAATTATCACAATTCTCTAATACAGACACCTTCAAGACAAAATAAAAAAACAGCCATATAACATCTAGAACAACTGAATGGCAAATGTTGCTTGTAGATATACCTTCAGTTTCACTAACAATGACAACTCATTCCAGTCTATCACCAGTACAAAACATGTAAGAGGTCACTCAATCTTCTGAACCTGAATATTCTGTTTCTTAGAAATTTGGGATAGTTTGAGTAAAAGAGCTCTTTCACTTCCAAAGCACTCTTATACCCTGTCCTCAAGTCTGAAAAATCTGTGATGTAATATTTGTACAAGAAATGGCTTTCAAAAACATTTAGGAAGCTCTAGTAAGAAAAAGGAAATCCCCTGTGGATTTTGTACAAACCGAGGGAAAGGATTTCTTTTCTAGTAAAGTAAAATAATTTCACTTGGGCCTCCTGTCTAGATTTAGTCACGAAGACTTAGTTGCCTTAAATGTTCATCTCTGGACCAGGAACTAAGTTGAGAAAGATTCTACCATTTGGGCCCTGGGCTGAACAGTACAGAGTGTGAGGCAAGTTTCTAGTCCTCTGCTTGTCAAGAAAAGGCCTAACTGGCTGCGTTCTTGGAAACCACAGCTTTTCAAACAATGCCCGTAATAGCCTGGCCCTGATCTGCCTCTTTCGCCCGGGATCTCACCATCCTCCATCACGTATCCTACGTCTGGCCATCACAGACTACTTGCCGTGCACTGTCACATCTCAGGGCCTTGGCTCAAGCTCTTCCTTCTGCCTACAACACTCTGCCTCCTCTCTCTTCCTGCAGAAATTCAAATCATCCGCTAGCAATAGAGTCCCTCCCATTACTAGGATCCACGATACTTTTCATAAATTTCCACTGTAACTTACCATACTGTATCATGATTACTTTTCGTCATTTCCATCTTCACAATCAGAACATGAGCTTCAAAGATAGAAACCATGTCTCTCATTCAACTTGTATCCCTCATGCCCAGTCCAGGCTGTGTACAATGCTCAATAAATACTTGATAGATTATTGAATGAATGAATGAAGTGACACTCCTTGGACAGCAGAGTCCAAGGGGGACACTGTTGTCTTCAGTTCTGTGTCCCCTGCTGTATCTGGTTTGGAACCTATCAGCTCGTTGTTAAGTAACTACTGTCAAATTAACCATGGAAGGGTTAATTAGGTCACAGCTCTTATTTTTTGATATACAAAATACAAATGCATCCCTTTTCTTACCTAACAAGCTGACCAGAATCTTAAACTGGGAAACCACATGGATCTGGAAAACAGGAAATCATTATTCTCAATTAAACATTTCCAACAAGGTTTAGCAAAAGTTCACTTAACTACAGTACTAACAGGGGACTAAGGAGCCTAAACCCAATCACAGAGGTCTGACTTATTTGGACATGTAATCACAGTTTCTGCTCGTCAAAGAGGACCTCAGGCACATGATGCATGGACTGAGATCCCCGATCATAAATGGCAGGGCAGAAAGCACAGGATTCAGGTAATAAATAGCCTTACAAAGTTCTAGCTCTGACAGGGCCTCCCATGAGCCAAATACTCTTATAGCAACTACCATACACTGCCTACCTGCTGGATCTTCTTGGAGAAATTCTTATTGGATTTCTCTAGTGTTACTTCAAACCTGTTGCAACCTATGGAAAAGAAAATAAACATTCACGGTTCCAAACATATACATATGAAAACAACTCCCCCAAAATGCTACTTTACATTACTCTCCAACATGAATCTTTAAAAAGTCCTGAAAGACTAGAAGTCAGAGATCTACAACGGCGAGCTATCTTTACCAAGCATTCTAAGTTGCTTTCAACCCCAATTTTAGACGAGGGTTTTGTGCACCTTTACTTGGCGTCAGCAAAGAGGATCACACCGCAGAAGTTTACTGAAGCTGCAAGGTACTTGTGAGTTTAAACATCTTATCATTAAAAAAAAAAAAAGTACCTTGGCAAAGTGTCTCACAAAGAAGAGTGTAAAAAGTAGTAGTCAAATGTAAGACCCGAAGCAATGAAACCCAGCCCAAAGCGTTCTTAGATCGAGACCAGCTAAATCCCAGCAGCTACCCTATGCAGCTGGGACAGAGCCAACACTCCATGCCATCCCAGAGTTGAAGCAATTTAATGCATCTACACTTACTGCCACTTTCAGGGGCTGTTACATCTGCTGGCACTGTTGCAAAAAAGGGTAAAAAAGTTATACACCATAAAAACATGCGAATCCAGCCTTGCTGGGGACGACAAAAATACTCAGCCTCAAAAGGCATCAAAGAGTAAGAAAGGGAATAATTATCATAATAATAACAGCCACTATCATTAACTAAACAATAACCAGGTGCCAGATTCTGGGTTAAAGAATTTATATGTATTTTCTGTTAACTTTCACACTACCCCAAGGAGTAGGTATTATTATTCCAATTTCACGTTTCTCTGAAAGGACGGGCTCCCTTTGTTCATTTTTGAGAAAATGTGTGGCAAGTACCCAAGTCTAAAAAACCGTAATTTGTCAGTCATTCTTTCAAGTAAAAATGGTGTTCCACGAAAAAAGCGGCAAGTTGAGCTCGTGACGCAATCATACAAGTGCTTTCTCCAACCACCATCGTATGTCATACCTCAGCACACAGCAGAAGTTCTTTATGGGTACGTCCTATCAAAGGAGATGGCGCAGATCATAACCCAGGTCCCCTAAATCTCAGCTTTCCATGACACCTTCCTGCCATCTCCCTTCCCTCAGGACAACCTAGTTGCATCTTTGTCTAGGCGTTCAGAAACTGAATTAGTTCTAGAGCTGAATCACGGAGGGCCAGGTCTATTTCTGGTCCAGAACTGAGCTGTTCTCTAAGGATACAGGGAGAAGCGAAGTTTCAAGTCAGAAACTAAGGTAAGTTAGTACTGCTATTGTCTAAGGTAAGTTAGTACTGCTATTCAAATTACCTGTGAGGAAACTGAAGCCCATAACTAACTTGTCAAAAGTCACATGCTGAACTGATCACAGGGCAAGGAACAGTCACCACCAGTATTGCAAGCACAGGAACACTAACATCACCAGTCTGAGGTTACATCGTGTTGAAAGATTCCTTCTTACAGCCTAGTGTTCAATTTCATACTACCTGTATAGAAATAATATATTTACTTGTGTATTTAGTATGTGATGGCACAAAAAACTGATTCTCTATTAGGAGCAAAGAATCAGGGAAATATTATAGTCTCTTATCTCCCTGTCCTACACAGCATCTGAGCCCACAGTAGACAGTCAAACAACAGTTGTTGAAAGCTGAATAAAATTCTAGGCAAGTTTAATTTTTAAATTACAGACTGGGTAGATGTCACAGAAAGCAAATATTCCGGCTCTGAGAACTAGAAATTTAAAGCTGGGGTTGGCATGCTACTGCCCGTAGGCCAAATCCCGCCTTCTTGCCTGTTTTTGTAAATAAAGTTGACTGGCACACAGCCACACCCATTCATGTACATACCGCCTATGGGGGCTTCCGTGCTACAAGGGCAGAGTTGAGTAGCTGCGAAAGATTCTACGGCTTGCAAAGCCTAAAATATTTGTTATTTGAGTCTTTTCAGAACAAGTTTGCTGACCCCTGATTTAAAGGAACATCTACAAACTCAGAAATGAAACTAACCCTCTGCTTTCTCTTCCCCACCCCCAGAAGCTGACCAAGGTGCCTTCCTCTTTCCCAACGGCACTAGTAAAACGCTCTTTTTCCCCCAGTGTTACCCTAGTTAGTCTCCTCCGGCATCAACAGCAGGCTGCTATAGACTCTGGGGCTCCAGGGCCTAATATACAAACATATCAGTTTTTCTTTGTTTTTCATAAAAAGAGCAGTGAAAGAAAACAAGGAAAAGAGAGTGAGAGCCTTTTAATTCCCAACAGAGGGTACTCTTTAATAAATTTAGAATCCTTTTAGCTGTTATTCTACGTTATTATTGACAAAGTTACATTTGATTGGAGATTTAGTTTTCAGTCTTTTCAAGCATATTATTGCATGTGACTCCAACAATTCTGTCAGACAAGACAGGTTATAGAAGAGGAAACTGATGTTGGAAAGGAACCACTCACAGTCACATGACCAAGAGGAAGGAAAGCTGGAACTCAAACCCAGGCCCTCTGGCTCCTCGTCCACCCCTTAGAAGCTAACAAGATCTTTTAAATCAATGGTTCCATATTCTTTTTCCTGCCATCACGCCATTTACCCAGGAATTACAGTCCCATCAGTAATGTCTCCTATTACTGGTAGTGAGTCTCTAAGAAGTCAGGAGAGGAGGAGCGTAGTCCCACCTCACAGATGGGGGCAGGGGAACGCAGTTTCAAAAAACAAATCCTGGAGATTCTCACATTATTTCTCCCCATCTTCCCACTGCTGTCCCTCCCCCGCAATCGCTCTTTCAATGTTCAGGAATCACTGATTCCACAGTTTTGCATGAGCAGTAAGCCATGCAGTTCTGGAAAGTCTGTCACTCACCAGCATCCTTCCGAATCCTATAGAGAAGAAGATGTCCTTGCTTGGTTCCAACGAGAAGCCATTCCTCTAGAAAAGAAAACAGCAGAGAGAAAGGCCAGTCAGCCTCAGTAAAACCTTATTTCTTTAGCTGGGGCTTGTACTCGGAACTCAAAGTGTAAAAAAATCAGTTGCTTTGGACAGCAGGTATTGTGCAAAGCTAAAAAATGTTTATGTTCCAGAAATGTTTGAGAATCAACCAGTCAAAAAAATTTTATTAAACAATTACTAGGCTAGACATTTCACAGGATAAGAAATCTCCCTGGCTTCATTTTCTTTATTAAGATATCTATTTTTTGTTGTTGTTGTTGCTCTGGAAAGGCAGTAGTTAAAAAGAATACGATGGAAGTTTATGAAATCATAAAAATGAATGCTGTTGCTGTTGTTAGCTGCCGTCAAGTTGATTTTGACTCATGGCAACCCCATACGTGCAGAGTAGAGCTGCTCCATAAGGTTTTCAAGGCTGTAAGCTTCCAGAAGCAGATCACCAGGCCTGTCTTCCAAGGCACCTCTGAGTAGGTTCGAACCACCAGCCTTTAGGCTAGCAGTTGAGTGCTTACCCATTTGTACCACCCGGGGAATCCTCACAGAATGAATCAGCAGTATAAATATGAAACTAGGTAACGAATCTCAGAAACAACAGCTAAGAGGCATGCCTTGAAGGTTTAATGATTTAACTTTAAGGAGAATAAGAAGCTTACAGAATTTTTTATCTATCTCAAAGGATGGTCTAACAGATAATAACAACTGCTGATAAGAACATGGAGAAACTGGAACCCTCATACATTGCTGGTGGAAACATAAAATGGTGCAGCCACTTTGGTGAACAGTCTGGTAGTTTCCCAAAAGGTTAAATACTGAGTTACCATGTTGTTGTTGTTATTAAGTGCCCGTCGAGTAGCTCCAACTCATAGTGACTTTATGTAAAACAGAACAGAACGCTGCCCAGTCCTGTGCCATCCTCACAATCCTTGCTATGTTTGAGCCACTATGCTATCCATCTCATTGAGGGTCTCCCTCTTTTTGCTGACCCTCTACTTTACCAAGCATGATGTCCTTTTCCAGCGATTGGTCCCTCCTGATGACATGTCAAAAGTAAGATAGTCTCACCATCCTTGCTTCTAAGGAGTATTCTGGCTGCACTTCCTCCAAGACCGATTTGTTTGTTCTTCTGGCAGTCCATAGTATATTCAATGTTCTCTGTCAACACCAGAAATTCAAATGTGTCAATTCTTCTTTGGTTTTCCTTTTTCGTTGTCCAGCTTTCGCATGCATATGAGGTGCAACTTAATCATCTAGGGTGACAAAGTGACATCTTTGCTTTTTAAGATTTTAAAGAGGTCTTTGCTGCAGATTTGCCCAATGTAATATGTTGTGTGATTTCTTGACTGCTGCTTCCATGGACACTGATTGCTGATCTAAGCAGAAAGAAATCCTCGACAACTTCAACTTCTACACTGTTTATCCACCCAGTTGTGAGGATGTGAGTTACCATATGACCCAGCAACTCCACTCCTAAATATATACCCAAGAGAAATAAAAATGTATGTCCATACAAAATCTGTACACAAGTATTCACAGCAGCATTATTAAAAATAGCTGAAAAGGGTCCACAAAGTGATGACTAGATGACCAAAATGTGGTCTATCCATACATTGGAATATTATACAGCCATCAAAAAGAATGAAGTACTGATACATGTTACAACGTGGATGAACCTGAAAACATTATGCTAAATGAAAGAAAGCAGACACAGAAGGCCACATATTATATAATTTCATTTATATGAAATGTTCAGAATAGACAAATCCAACAGAAACAAAAAGTAGATCAGGGATTGTCTAGGACTTGAGGACTCTGGGGGAAGTGGGGAGTGAATGCTAATGGGTATGGGGTTTCTTCTTGGGGTGATGAAAATGTTCTAAGACTGATTGTGGTGATAGCGGCACAACCCATGAATATACTAAAAACCAACGGATTGCACATTTAAAGGGGGGGGCTGTACAGCATGTGAATTCTATCTCAATAAAGCTCTTTTTAAAAAAAAAAAAAAAAAAGCCTAGGTCAGAGTTTCTTAAACTTTAGTGTGTGTCAGAATTATTTGAGGGTTTGTTAAAACAGCTTTCTAGGCCCCATGCTCAGAGTTTCTGACTCAGTAGGTCTGGAAATGAATCCCAAGAATTTGCATTTCTAACAAGTTGCCAAGTGATCCTCAAGCTGCTGGTTCAGGGATCATATTTGGATGCACTGGTCTAGTCTAAAGATAAGGAGGTTCAGAAAGGGTTTAAATAATTACAGATGCACATTAAATCATTAAAGCAAGTTAAGCATGTACAGATACTTCCTCAACTTTTTTATGTTGAAACATAAAGGTAACTTATTGCTTTCATAAACTCTCTTGATCCTTTGTAAAATAAAATATTGGACAATGGTACAAATAGATAACTTTTATTGAGCATCCACTGTGTTCTAGGAAATGCTAAGCACGTATCATCTGTTATTTTACAACTATACATTGATGTACGTGCTTTTTTTTAAACTCCCATTTTGCAGATAAGAAAATTGAGGCTGAGGGGATAAATAATTTGTCCAAAGTTACATATGTAGTATGTGGTAGAGTTGGGATTCCAATCTCAATTTGTCTGGCTCTTATCCACATGCTCTGACGTACTAAGGTACCCCAGGTCAAAAGAATGAGTGTCGGCCAGAGATTGTCTAAAAGACAATAGTTACATTTATAAAAACAGGTCAGCATCCATGTTAGAAACATTTCTCCGGGTTAATTCCTTAGTCTCCCAGAAAAAGACAGTGATTCTGCTTTATTCTGAACTTTAAAGGAAAAACGGTACACAGAAAGTAATCCACTGTGTGCCCTTAATAACATCAGTAGAAATCAGAAATCATAGTAGTTCTAACAGAATGCTGGAGATTACGCTGGAGCAGACCAGGAAGGAAAACAAAAACCACTTCCATTCACAATGTTTGCTTTTCAAAAGACATTATGCTTGGAGTTAAACTTACAAATAGCACTATACTGAGCACTTGGCAATATTCAAGTTGATTTTTTAGGATAGCCAATGATATTTCAGAAATAAATAAAGTAGAAATCTTTAAAAAATTCACTTATAATATACATAAAAATCTATACAAGTTGTTTGCCAAAACACAAGGCAAGCATAAAGTTCACCATCTTCCCCATCCTTCCCTCTCCACTACCCTCAAAACTTCTCAAAAGTTTCTGCTGTTCTTTACCTCGTGTAACAGCCCCAGCTTCCTCCCAGGTCTGCCAAGGTCTATCAGTTTTACCTTGGGCTCTTCATGGTCCCCCGCGGCAGCCTCCTGACCGGCCTCTCTGCATTCTTCCGCTTCTGCTGTCTGTTACGTTAGAGCACAGCTCTGACACCGTCACACTGGGGTTTACAAGGCCCTCATGAGGCTGCCCTACCCAAAAATGAAGCCAAACTCCTAAGCATGACATTCCATTTTTTACCAATATTTATTTGCCAACAGTTGTCTCTTATCAATGTCTACTGTACTGGTCATAAAAGGGAATCAGATAGATTCGATCCACTGAAACTTAAAAAAATTTTTTTTAATTGAAAATTTATTTGACCTTTCTCAAGCTGTCATTTGGAGGTGCTGAGGAAAAATATATTTATCATATATGCAAATTATTTGTAATTATTTCTTTTAAAGAGTAAAAGCACCACACACGTACTCATCTTCAAACTAATCCTCAAACTTCTAAGGAAAAACAGCGTGTCATCCAGATGTTCTAATGGCAAAGAGCCCTGAAGAGGTGTGATTTGGTTAGAGAAGTCAGTGGAGGCTCACGTGGCCAGAGGTCCTGACCCGGGTTGGGCCCTCCATTCTCTATGACTTGTATTTGGTGACAGAAGTCAGTGGAGGCTCAGGTGGCCAGAGGTTCTGACCCGGGTTGGGCCCTCCACTCTCTATGACATGTATTTGGTGACAGAAGTCAGTGGAGGCTCAGGTGGCCAGAGGTCCTGACGCGGGTTGGGCTCTCCATTCTCTATGACATGTATTTGGTGACAGAAGTCAGTGGAGGCTCAGGTGGCCAGAGGTCCTGACCCGGGTTGGGCCCTCCATTCTCTATGACATGTATTTGGTGACAGAAGTCAGTGGAGGCTCAGGTGGCCAGAGGTCCTGACCTGGGTTGGGCCCTCCATTCTCTGTGACATGTCATCATGGAACATAGCCATGCACACACAACACAGAGAGGGACAAGCCCGCACAGCAGGTACAGCACAGACAGTCCCTTCTTGGAGCCAATACTGCATATCTGAACGTGAAACACACTACCCATATGGGTAACACACATAAACAAACTAGTGAGCCCTAGAAAATTCCTGGCAGCCTAATGCTGAGCTACAAGGTTGGACTTGATCCCTCCTGGGAAGTAAGGCTGGGCCTTCTTGCTTATAATTACCCTAATGAAGCCATTCAACCGCACAACACCCTCACGTAATAACCAAATACATTCCTGGCCCCATGCAGGCCACTGCAGCAATACACAGATGAATACGGTACTGGTCACTTCCCTTCTTGGCATCGTATGGCATAGACAATGTTTCTCAAAGTACAAACTCCTGATTAGCTGCATCAGGGTCACTTGGATTGATTAAAAACACAAATTCCTGAGCCCTGCTCCCAAAGATTCTGACTCACAGACTCGGGGGTGGTGTCCTGAGATGTACATTTTTACTTTTAAATTTGTTTTTTAATATATGAAACATTTATGTAGTTCCAAAGCTAAAACTATGAGAAGTCTTAGCTTCCCTGCTTGTTACTCCACCCTGTTACTTCCCTTCTGCTACAGGGAATCATTTTAGTAATGCTGGTTTATCCTTCCTTTTTTTTTTTAAAAATGTAAGTAAATATGTGTGTATACTCACATACAGAACACACACACACACACACACACACACACACACACACACACACAAATCTGCATTTTTTACAGGCTCTGATGTACACTGAAGTATGGAAAACAGATTCTGAAATCAGATATGATTTACTAGATATGTGACCTTAGAAAGATTATCTAAATTCTCTAAGCTTCAGGTTCTTCCTCTATAAGATGGCATTGTTATTATTTCATTAAAGCCCTTAGCACAAGGCCAAATACAGACTGGTACTCAATAAATCAAAGCTATTACTATTAGCATCATCTTTACTCATTAATTAATTAAAATACATTTAACGAATACCCATTATGCGTCAAGAACTATTCTAAGCACTGCAGATACAGTAATGTACAAAACAAAGTTCATTCTCTGAAAGAACTCATATTCCAATGTGCAGTGAGAGAGACAATAAATAAATACATAAAATAACACTAGGTGGTGATCATGGTAAGAAAGATAAGGCTGGGTAAGGGAACAGAGCACTGGTGGATATGGCACCCTCTTTTACACAGGGTAGTCAGGGAGGTCTCACTGATTTGGGTGACACTTTAGCAGAAACTGAATGAAATGAGGAATGAGCCATGTGGTATCTACAGCAAAAGAGTTCCAGGCAGAGGATACAGCAAGTGAAAAGGCCCTGAGGTATGTATGTGTTTTGTGTGTTCGTGGAACAACAGGAAGACTGTGTGACTAGCACCAGAAGGAGCAAAGAGTACAAGCCTAGAAGATAAAGCGAGGGAAGTAACGAGGGGCCTGAGCGTGCCAGGTGTTGTCAACCACGGTAAGGTCTTTACAACGTTATTCTAGTTGTGATGTGAACCCACTGGAGGATTTTGAGCAGAGAAGAGATGTGAGCAGATTTAGGTTTCCAAAAGATCATTCTGTCTCTGTGTAGACGCAAACCGAAGATGGCACAAAGGCAAACGCAGCAGCAGAACATACCACTATGATAATCCAGCGGAGAGATGACAGCGCCCTCGTCAAGAGCAGTAATAGTGGAGACTGAGGGAACAGACTGGATTCTAGACTTATTCTGGATGTGGAGTGGACAGGATTTGCTGATGAACTGGATGTGGCGTACAAGAGGGTGAAAGAAGCCAAGAATGATTCCAAGGCGTCTGGCCTGAGCCAAACGGGTAAACAGAAAAGCCATTCACTGAGATGTGGGATACTGCAGGAGAGACAGGTTTTGGGGGAGTGGAACCAAGAATTTTGTTTTGGCCATGCTATTTGACATTCAAACAAAGATGCTGAAAAGGCAGCTGAATAAACAAGTCCAGTGGACACATCATCAGTGTCCACCTCATCCCCATTTCCCAGATGAGTTACGGTGTCTCTAAGATACCGTCCAGCTCAAATATTGTCCAGCCCTGCATGATCTGGCTCCTGAAGGTTCCTGGATGAACTTTCCATAAAAGGAGTGATGACTAGAAAAAGAAATATTTAGACAAGAATAAAAGAGAATAGAAATATTTACTGCTGCTAAAGACTGAAAATAAAGTAGCTCTAAGGTTGTTGTTGTTGGGAGCTGCTGAGTCTATTCTGACTTACAGTGACCCCATGTGACAGAGTAGCCCCAGAGGGCTTTCTTGGCTGTAATCTTTACAAAAGCAGATCACCAGGTCTTTCTCTCACAGAGCTGCTGGGTGGGTTCAAACCACCAACCTTTTCAGTTAGCAGCCAAGCGCTTAACCACTGCACCACCAGGACTCTGAGGCAGGAGGCAGTAAATGATCTCTTGTAGCCCAATACCTCCCACAGCATCCTAGGAGGCAAAGGGCATTTCTCCTCTTTGGTGCAGGATCAAAAGAGGCCAAATGCTGGCATTTCAAAACTGTGTGCCTGAAAAGCAGGGGTACAGGGAGTCTTTACTGTGATAAAGTAGAATCGGTGAAAGAGCCTCAGAGATACCTGTCCTAATGGTCCCACAGGGTATCAGAGTCAATGCATGGAGTAATGCAGCAATCTTCAGGAAGGATTTCCTATATACATCAGGATTCTGACAAGCTAAATCAGGTGTCTTAAGCAGCTACATCAATCCTTTTTAGAAGCATATGCCCTCGGCCCTGTGCTCCCATAATAGGCTATATCCAGGATCATTTATCTTGAATCATAATCTGTTCATATGTCTATGTCCCCCACCGTGTGTTCTAGGAGCACAGGCACTGTTTTTTATTCATCCTTGTATCCTGATCCTGCAGAGAGATTGGCCCACAAAAGGACCCGACACATATTTGATGAAGAAACAGGGAAATGAATCCTCTGTGCAATGTGTCAGGTCTTTATTATTATTATTATTTCTTTTTCTCCATTATTTATTTTTAAATTTTACTGAGAGCATTTAATGACAGGAAATGGAGATTTTCTTGAGATGTCTGGATTCAATAGGAGTCTCTCCTTAACACAAAACACTAGGACATCTTGCTGTGGCTGTCTCATTTTAAAGAGGTCCAAGACTGCTAAAGGCAGGAGAGCCAGCATTAACATGAAGATCTGTGGTGTAAGAGCCCCACCGAACAGGCCATGAAAAATTCCACAAGGGTGACTGGGTGGCACTGTCAACAGATCATGAAGATGATGCCAGCCACCTTCAAGACTCCACCAGGCCCATCGTGGTTCCTTGCTCAGTATAAGATCCCAGAGGTTCTGAGCCTCCTTTTTAGGGTCCTTGATTTCTAGGACCTGGACATGAACAGGAAAAACTGAAATTATTTCTGCTTGGTCTTTGGTGGCTGTTATTCGACACAAACACTCAAAGAGCACATTGTTCATACCTGAGACAAGGCTGGGACCCCTGAAACATTCATCTGTATTCCAGAGCACACACAGATGCCTGATCCTGCTTTCTGCATTGGCCAATTCCAAAGGGATTATGTAAGCTTTTAGTGGTTAGGTCTCATGACAGTCTGGAATTATGTTCTTCTACCTACAGTTAGGCAACTTGGGCACTCTGGACATAAGCAATCAACCACTTGGCTAGTTAAGAGTTTAGAGTAACAACGTGAATTACCTACAGAAGCCAGAAGTGAACAATAAGCGGTCACTAAGGAAAAAAAAAATAGAGCATTTGGTGTTAACTTGCTCAGTGAACAAAAAAGCCAGTGTTGTGTTTTACCTAGAAAACAACACAATCATGTGGACAAATCAAAGCCCCTGGCAGGCTGAGAACTTCCCAGTGCACTGTCCCTCCAAACTGGGAATCGAAATGGATCAAAGCTGAGTACAACTAATAAAGAAAGCTCAATCTCCAACTCTGCACGAAGCGCGGGTGAAAAGTCCGCTAAAATGCCTGGAACACTGGAGATTTCCCAAGCACCCCACCGCCCTCGCTGTCCACAGCTGGTGGTCACATCGCTGCCCTCCCTCATCACAGGCCCTCTAGGACAGCGTCCGACCGAAGCCCACACAGCCAGACGCCTGTCCACTTCCCCAGCCTTCGCGAAAGGTCTGGGCCGCTGCGGTGCTGACCCCGCCTCGGTCTCGTGGCCCCTCCGCTCACCCCAGGCAGCAAGACAGTCGATCTGCAGAGGCAGCTTTTCGAGGATCGGCACCGGCTCGAAGGCGTCGTGCATGGCGGCGAGAAGAGAGTCTGCGCCGCCGCCGTCTCCGAAGGGGCCGAGCCAGAACCAGACCCCGCTTAAAGCAGACCGGGATCCGGTCAGGGACCCCTCAACTACAGGCCCATCGGCAACAGAGGTAGCATCAACCCCAGACTTCCGGCTGGGTAGGCCCGCCCTTTCCGCCACCGAAGTCCCGCCCTTTCCGGCCTGCCGCGCAGTGTATCCTCAAGGACTGGACAGGTGGTGGCTTCTGTCTTCGCCCCAGAAAGAGTTTTTCCGTCTTGAGGCCGAGTAGCCATAGGGTTAACAAGGAAGGAAAATGATCTTAATCTTAGAACTGCCTTAGGCAGCATAGGGTGGCGGTTTAAGAATTCATCCTTTGGCGTCAGTCAGACCTGGGAGGAGATCTGCCATTTAGAAAGCTAGCCATGACTTTAAGGAAATTTCATCTCTCGAGGCTGTTTCCTAGCCTGCAGAATGAAAGTGGTCTAAGTACCTACGATTTAGCAACGCCTGACACACTTTAAGCACTCAATAAATGGTACGTTGCCATTGCGTGGATTCTGACTCATAGCGACCCTATAGGACCGAGTAGAGCGGTCCCAAAGGGAGTCTAAAGAGCGGATGGTGGATTCAACTGCGACCTTTGGGTTAGCAGCCGAGCGCTTAACCACTCTGCCACAGTAAATGGTAGTTAGCATTGCCATTATTATCCTGTTCTAGGGCAGCATCGGATCACCTGGGAACTTGGAAATGCAGTCTCAGGCCTCACTCCAGCCCTACTGAATCAGAAACTTGGGAGTTGGGGTCCAGCAATCTGCTTTAATAAGCCCCCAAGGCGAGTCCATGCACTCTAAAGCTTGAGAACCACTGTTCTGGCCAGTTTCTCAATTGCTGCACTATTGATATTTAGAGCAGGATACTTTTTTTTGTCGTGGAGGGCTGTTCTGTGCACTGTGGGATGTTAGCAGCATCCCTGGCCTCTCCCCATCAGATGCCAGTGGCACCCTCCCGGGAGATATTGCCACATGTCCTCTAGGGGAGCAAAATCAGCCCTGGGTGAGAATCGCCGCTCCAGGCAGATGCTTCTCAAACTTTAAAGGGCATACAAATCACCTGGTGATCTCAGTTAAAACCAAACCACACCCACTGCTGGGGAGTCAAATCGGACTCATAGCGACCCTATAGGACAGAGCAGAACTGCCCCATAGGGTTTCCAAGGCTGCCAATCTTTACTGGAGCAGACTGCCACGTTTTTCTCCCCGCAGAGTGGCAGGTGGATTCAAACCACCGACCTCTGGTTAGCAGCCGAGCACTTTAACCACTGTGCCACCAGGGCTCCTTCTTGTTTAAAAAAGCAGATACTAATTCAGTAGGTCCAGAGTAAGGCCCTCAATTGAGCATTTCTAAAGAGCGCTCAGGTGCTGCTGATGCTACCAGTCCTTTGACACACTTTGAGTAGCAAGAGTCTAGGCGGCAAGAGCTGATGCAGCAATTTGTGGAATCAGTAAAATAAACTTTTAAAATTTCTGATCCCATTCCCACCAGTTCAGCTCTCTCAAGCTGTGTCTTACCACCTCATACTCCTTTTAGGAAGGTAAGAGACCTTCCTCCTATTAGTCCTGCACTGTCTGAGGTTACCTTAGTATTCCTCTGGAGACTTAACAAAAACAAGGACTAAATTTAATCTGCAAGAATAAGCTGTATCTGGCAGCCCACTCCCAAGAAAACATCAGGTATATCCTTTACCAAATCCTGTTTCTGAAAATCAAATGACATGCTATTTTTAAGTAGTCAGAAACACAAACACTGCTAAGCAACTCTTGTGTTATGGCTAATTTTCACCATATAAACTGATCACTTTCTTGAAAATTTAGAATTACCAGCTGCTGTGCTGGAAGGCCTATTTTTAGTTCCAGCCCAAGGGCCAAGACGAAAATAAACAATGTAAACTCTAAGGTAACAGCTCAATTTTTTTTTTTTAAACTAAAAATTCCTTCTGAACCTGCCCTGCCCCAAGAAATGACACACCATATCCAATCCCAGTAACACAGGAAGCTTCAAGACAGCAGAAAGAATTATCAGGCCTCAGCCTATAGAATTTATACTATACACTCTTGCTTAACACAGGATTGGTTTTTTTTCCTAGTCTCAACTCAGCATCTAACTATCCTTAAAAAATATTTGAACCATCTATACTGCTGCATTATAACTATTACTCTTCTTCCGAGTTTTAGTATTCAAGAACAGAAGCACAGGTGACAATGACAACCCATGCTAATGGGTTGACATGAAACAGTCATTTCTTCATACTGTTCGTCCTTAGAAATACTATGTAAGGGTTTTGTTTTTTAATCACTACAGTGAAGAGCTACAGAGAAATGCTACATAATGTTCACACTATTATGGTCACTGGGTTGTACAGAATACAGAACTACCTAGAATAAAAGCTATGGAAGAAAAATTTCCTCAAGGCAGAGTCTGGGAGGAAAAAAAGGTTTAAGAGAATAAAGTCTGAAAAAAAAATGAGAACAACATTAATTTTGTTAAAATTTTTTATATTAAAAAGTGGCACAAACTTTTTAAGTAGAACAAAAATCTTGGGAAGGCAAAACTGGAGAAACTGTTAAAACAGAAATATAATGCTTCAAATGAATCCCATCACCTCGTGATGCCTCTTATACACAGTCTCTAAACCAACACCAGGTACAAAAACAGTCGATCCTAAAGAATGAGCAGCATCCAGGGCCTCCACGCCACGTCATGCAGGAATAACTTTAAATTAAGCCAGAGGGACCTGTTTCCTTTGTAACAAGCTCTCCTTAACGAAGCATTACAGTTCCTCTCGCTGGGGCTCATTCACAAGCACTTAGATGCAGTGCCTCTCTATACGGAGTGCAACACCCAGTGAACGGCATGAAGGCAAGCAAAGCATTGCCTACAACGCCATGCCGCCACCCTGGGAGGCTTACAAAACAGTAGTTAAAAGTTCCAGAGTGTGTACCACATTGCCAGCAATGGGATGTGTCACAATAGCAGATGTCAAAGGAGTTAAGCTAATATTTCTAAGTTACATCTGAAATAGAAAAATCTTTAATATACACCATTTGTAAACAAATTGCACTTGATTTTGCTTTTTTAAATGATCTGAATCACACTGTAAGTTTCTCTTTTTTTTTGTTGCTGTTCTTTTAATCATTAATAGAACAGTGGCTCCTTAACTCAGAGGGGCTCTTTGTTCTCAAAACTATCTCTGCAAGAAGTAACCTCGGCTTCCCAGGAAACTGAAAGATAACAATTTCCCCCATCACCTATGTAACTCCCTAAATAAATAAAAATCACAGGCAGTTGTTCCTGGAGATTACATATTATGACCTTGATGTCACAGTCCTTTAGAGGATGTTAAACTTTTTAGTTTGACAGATTAAACAACGGAAACATTATAGGAGGTTCAGGAACAACACACATAAGTTGCATACACATCCATGTCAGGGTGTGGGAAGGGAAGGGTATCGATGTGGGAAATTAGAAACGTGTAGATTTTTCTCATCCTATGAACTTCTTTTCAGTAAGATCCTCCTTGTTCTGACATCTCTCGCCAGCTCCGATGCAGCAAGATCAGGGAACAGATCAGGAAGTCGTTGCCTCCTTCAACCCCACACAGCAGTGCTAGAAGACTGACACAGAAGCTGATCTCTTCCCTGATACTAGCCATCTTCAACTGTAATTCTTCCTATTCTTTATTCCATTTTGGACCTTTCAAAGTGTGTAATCATTCGTTCCTAAGGGGAAAAAAAATCTTTAATTAATTTAAAATGAGCTACATTCCAAATATCTTCTACACAGACTATTCACACACATTTGTCACAAGTACTTATTTATGTTAATTAAATATTTAGAGCGATGGTTCCTAACCACCTATAAAGATTTTGGAACATACAAATGTACAAGCCCCACCGAAGACAGACTGAATCCAAATCTCTAGACTTCTGAACAGCAAACCACAAATCAAAGGAAATTATACACTTTAGTCAATTAAAATGATTAAATATTTAATTAAGATTAAGCTTTAATAAAAGTGTGTATCTCCTCTGATTCAGGAATTTAACTTGAAGTAATACTCAAGGATATGGGCAAAGATTTAGCCACAATCATGTCCACTGCAACACTCAGCATTACAGCAAAATATGACAAAGAACTAAATGTCCAAAAATACGGGTATATATAAACAAACTATGGTATATCCTTACACTGAAATAATATATACTCATTAAAATGTCATTTGATTATAAAACACTATTTACAATATCCAAATTCAATTAAGAAAGTTATATGTACTCCTTTCTTGTAAATTTTTTTACCTTAGAGTATTTTTTCATTTTTACTTTGCTTCATTTGTTAAGTACCTAACACAAATTTATCCCAAACTCAGACTGAACTGTAAATCCCTTTTCAGTATGATCAATCCCATCAGATAACCTATGCTTTTCATTTTTTTTCCCCCTTAAATTATCCTTGCCTGTCTCTTGTGTTGGATCCCTTATTTCCTGTATCCTATGTCATTCTCTTTCTCAGCTGATTTCCTCATTTTTCTGTAGAACATTTTCCACTACTTTCCTGACAAAGCATGCACAGGATACAAATTATTTTACTTCTTGCATTTCTGAAAACATCTTTATTTTACCCTTATATTGACAGTTTAGCTGGATATATAATTCTAGGTTCAAAAGCATTGTTTATCTTCTGGTTTCCAAAATTGCTGTAGGAGAGTCTCATGACATTTTGATTCCTGCTCCTTTATGTAACTTGTTTCTCTTGTAAGTCATTTAAGTTCTTCTTCAGTTTAAAAAAAAAAAAAGCCTTGATATTTATTAGGTATTATTGCAAAGTCTTGCATAGTATTTTCAAGAAAATACGAACAGATGGGTGAAGCTGATGCCACCAGAAGTACTACAGTAAACCTGTATTCTCATGTAAGATACAATCAGGTTTCCCATATACAGCCCTCTCTCTTTGAAATATAGTGTGGCTGGAGACCTAAAGCCAAAGGAACGCCTTGAGGCAAACAATTAGCAGAGAAAGACCCCAAGAGGGAGTACTATAGATATATCAGTGCAAGATGATCTAGGAAATGTAGAACACACCACAGAAAGCAAAGTGTTATGCTGATAGGTTTAAATTTGAATGATAGAGCTTTTAATTATTTCAATGAAACAGCTAAGGAATCTGACACTGTATGCTGCTTCACACAGCAGGTCAACAGGAAATGAACAAACCATTTTTACAGCAGCCTATCCAACACAGAGAATTAGAATCAGGCAAGATGCTCCCAAAAGGCTTTCTGAAATCAAGAGGTCCTGGAATAACCTAATATTCAAAACATATCTAAAATTAGTTCCCATGAACCCAGACTGCAATTCTTACAGAAGACTTCATTTGAAGCCTTCTAGATAAAGTGTATGGAGGTATACTAAAAGATTAAAAGTCATACTGGACCAGTAGAGACTAGATGAAGCCCAGAGATTATCGCCCCAGGAGACCCTTTAAATTTGGAGATCAAATTACTCCAAGAGGTCACCTTTCAGCTAAATGACAGATTGGCCCAAAAAATAAGTATCACCCGTGAGTACTGTGCTTCTCTAAATAATCATCTAAATGAAACCAAATGGTAAACATTCACCCTAGACCAAAGATGAAAAGGTTAAGTGGGGATGTGGAAGCTAGATTAATGGAAACACAACCACCACAATGGAAATGAGAATGCTGATATATGTCACTGAACAACATGTACAGAAACGAAAACCTAATTTGCTGTATAAACTTTCACCAAAAACACAATAAAATATTTTTTTAAAGTTAATAAATATTCTGGAATTAAAAAAAAAGATCAAAAGTCAGTAAAAACATTAAAGTACTAATTATAATCCTAATTATTTGAAGCAGGTAGTAATACAGATAACATTAAATAGTAAATAATTTTAAATAATTTATACTTCGTGTTGGTCTACTATATTCCTTTCAACACTTTTCCTTATTATTTTTGCCTAGATTAGATTAAATTTGAATTTTTTAAAGATAAAGGAACTACACAGAGGCAGAATATGGTATTGCTACCAAATTTAAACACAGACATTCTCAAGTATGACCATATAACTCTGAAAAAGAAAAGCAGGACACGTACAGACAGATAATACCGAAAGTCTTCTTGAATATTTGAGTTCTAGTATTAGTATTTCCACTCTTATCCTTTTTCAGTTTTTTCAACTATACCGACTATAGTTCTTTGGAGCCATTACTGAGTCAAATAAGTAGAATCTCCTTAACCAGAGGACTCATAATTTCCTACTAAGTCAACAGATCCACAGAATTTATGCCTATGATTTGATTACTGACCTCATCTGAATCCAGAAGGGCCGGAAGTGCTCTGAAAAGAAAAAAAACAAAAACGCCAAATTGAACAGTGTAAAATGGTTGAAAAAGGACAGTGAAATAAAGAATATCATTTAAAGCGTTTCTGTAATGATCTAAGATTTTCATCTTATCAATGCCCCTTTCAGGGAAAAAAAAAAGGCAAATACCAAAAACAAGAATCAGAATTACTGAAATTGTACAGAAAAGACAAACATGTTCTACGTTTTAATAGGACTAATGTTTTATTAAAATTATAGCCCTGAAAAGAACTAAAAAATTTCATATGGTTTCTTGCTACAACATATCAGACAAGGGTCTAATCTCTAAAATCTATAGAATACTTCAACACCTCAATAACAGAAAGACAAATAATCCAACTAAAAAATGGGCAAAGGATATGAACAGACACTTCACCAAAGACGACATTCAGGCAGCTAACAGACCCACGAGGAAATGCTCGCTGCAATCATTAGCCATTAGAGAAATGCAAATCAAAACTACAATGAGATACAATCTCATCCCGAAGTCAATGGCACTAATCAAAAAAGTAGAAAATAACAAATGCTGGAGAGGTTGCAGGGAGATTGGAACTCTTATGCACTGCTGGTGGGAATGTAAAATTGTATAACCACTATGGAAAACGATATGGTGGCTCCTAGGGAAATAAGAGCCGTCACACAAATAGACACATGCACACCCATGTTCACTGCAGCATTATTCACAGTAGCAAAAAGATGGGAACAACCTAAGCGTCCATCAACAGATGATGGATAAACAAATTATGGTGCATACACACAATGGAGTACTACATAAGCAACGATAACAATGATGAATTAGAGAAACATCTCACAACATGGACGAATACAGACGGCATTATGCTGAGTGAAATAAGTCAATCACAAAAGGACAAATACTGTATGGGGAACTATTTTAAAAACTCAAGAAAAGGTTTACACACAGAAAGAAACAATCTTTGATGGTAACAAGGGAGGGGAAGGGTGGGGAGGGGAAATGACTAACTAGATAGTAGACAAGTGTTAACTTTGGTGAAGGGAAAGACAATATACATTATAGGAGAAGTCAGCACAACCTGACCAAGGCAAAGCTTCCTAGACACTGGGGCTGAGGTGTGGGAACCATGGTCTCAGGGGACATCTAGATCAATTGGCATAACGTAGTTCATAATGAAAATGTTCTACATCCTACTTTGGCAAGTAGCGTCTAGGGTCTTAAAAGCTTGCAAGCAGCCATCTAAAATACGTCTATTGGTCCTATCACATTTGGAGCAAAGAATGAAGAAAACCAAAGGCACAAGGAAGATATCAGTCTAAACAATGAATGGACTACATGAATCACAGCCTCCACCAGCCTGAGCCCAGAAGAACTAGATGGTGCCCAGCTACCACCGACTACTCTGACAGGGATCACAACAGAAGATCCTAGACATGGCAGGACAAAAATGTAGAATAAAATTCAAATTCACAAAAAAGACCAGACTTACTGGTCTGACAGAGACTGGAGGAACTCCTGAGACTATGGCGTCCAGACACCCTGCTAACTCAGAACTGAAGGCAGTCCTGAAGTCCACCTTTCAGCCAAAGATTAAAACAAACAACAGCACACATGAAGAACATGCCTCTTAGTTCAATCAAATGGGCAACACCTGCTCAAAAGCAAAGACGAGAAGGCAGGAAGAGACAGGAAGCCTGAACGAACGGACACAGGGAACCTGGGGTATAAAGGGAAAGGGGAGAGTGCTGACACAATGAGAGGATTGCAAGCAAGGAACCTGGGGTATAAAGGGAAAAGGAAGCGTGCTGACACAATGCAAGGACTGCAAGCAGGGAACCTGGGGTATAAAGGGAAAGGGAAGCGTGCTGACACAATGCAAGGATTGCAAGCAGTGTCACAAAACCATGTGTATATAAATGACTGAATGAGAAACTAATTTGTGCTATAAACTGTCACCTAAAACACAATTTTAAAAAAAAATTCAAAAGGATTATTCCATTGATTTCAGGAAGACAGCTAAATATTTATAAGTGAAAATTTCATCCGAACCAATAATCTCAATTACTTTTGTCTATATATCACTCCTAGTCTTTTATTTACTTCTCCTCTAAAGTTAATTATAAGCATTCTCATTAGTATACTCTTCAGTGAATTCATCTAAAATAATAAAAGTAGTACTGACTATGAAGTAGGATTCTCGTGGTAATGATTCAACAACTTACACATCTGTCACGGAAGAAGGAACATTCTCTTCTACCCACTTCAAATCATCTTCCTGCTGGGAACATACAAGTACCAGTTGTTACTAAAATGCACCAAATAACACTTCTCAAGTAAGGACTTAGAGGTTTCAAAATCTTTAAATTTAATCTTATCACTCTGAAGCAGTACATTCACATAGCAAATGAAGCGGCTGACAGAAATGTCAAATAATTTAAATTTAAAAACCCATATAACAGAAATATAAAATGACATCCTACATCTTTAAATGCTCTCTTCTCAATAATCTACGCTTAAGGGTTTGCTTCATGCAGGCTTTGCTCCCTAAAGCTGAGAGAAATTCTAAAGCCCTCGATGGACACTGGATGCACGCACACACTGGATGCACGCAGCTCTTAACAAAGTGCTACCTGAAAACCTCTCTGTCGTTACTACAAAGCAGACTTGAGGTGATCACGGTGGCTAGAACTTCACTGACGAAAACTACTAAACAGAACCATCAGATTGCTCTGGTACTTTGTCAGCACCAGCAGAAAACCATCTACATAAAGATTATAAGGTCTTAGAACCTGTTGCTGTCTGTTTTTAAAAATATAAATGTAACATATATTAAAATGAATTCTAAAACCAGCCTAATTATAAACATATACACAAAAATCATTAAGAGCTATATGTAACTGTTGAGCCCACCCAGCCCTAGGAACAGGCAAAGACCAAAGAGGGAAGGAAGAGAACCCATACTTACTGCTTTATTCACTTTACTATTCCCATTTGGCTCTTGTTTGGTACTTCTCATTTTCATTCCTTCTACAGAAGAAAAAAAAAGTAGACTGGTTAACTACATCAACAGGCTAGGAAAGACTGCAAAAAATGGATTCAGAATTTTAAGCTCTTTTTGACACTGAATTGTACAACAGATGTCTCCCCATCTTTGAATTTCTGTTGGGAAGCTCAAAGCCAAATTTTTGACTCAACTCTAGCAAATAAAAGGGACCTTGGTTGGTTGTTGTTGTTGTGAGCTGCCTTAGAGTGGGCCCCCAACTCATGGCAACCCTATGCACAGCTGGATCAAACCACTGTCACCCACAGGGTTTTCATGGGCTGACTTCTGGAAGTAGACTGCCAGACTTTTCTTCCTAGTCTGTCTTAATCTGCAAGCTCTGCTGAAACCTATTCAGCATCACAGCAACACACAGGCCTCCACTGACAGACAGGTGGTGGCTGTGCCTGAGGTGCATCAGCTGGGAATCCAACCCCCATCTCCTCAATGCAAGGTGTGAATTCTACCACTGAAACCATCAGTGCCCCCTAAATAGGGCCTTTAGTGCACATTGATTTACTGAATTTACCCTGGCTTCATCTTAAGACTCATACCCTCATTTTTAATTCACTCTAACTTCACCAAATACCAAACTGAGGAACAATTCGGTCATAAAATAATAAACAATGAACCTGTAACCAAGTAGCCTGAATTTGATCTTGAATTTGATACTGTTATACTTCCTTTACTCTATTTCTAAAAACCAGAAAAGAATATTTAAAGTCAAAACAGAGGTGAGTTTTATCACTACCAAAGCTTTCTTTCAGCATCGGTTCCTTCTGTTCATCCTCCTCCTCTTCCTCCGACAGTGGTGAAAAGGCAAACCTGACCGAACAAAAGAAAAAAATTCGTAAATTACAAAAACGGTTCCAGCCTTTGGATTTTACAGGACTAAATACTGAAACTGCAATTATAGTCATTCATAAAATCAGCTTAATGAATGATGAAATAATTCTCCCCCTTCAGAAAACTCTCAACTGCCTAATTAGCAAGGGAGAAGCAGCACAGTATCATCACATTCATGACTTCAGGCTCTGCCAGACTACCTGTGACCTTACACAAGTGACTTCTCTCTCTGTCCCGGTTTCCTCATCTGTAAATGGGGAGAATGAAACAACACTACTCCTAATGTGTTTTATGAAAATTAAATCATTACAAATAAAGTGCTTAGAAAAATACCTGACACATAGTAAACATTCAATAAACATTCATTTATAAGGATATGTATCACACAGAGATAAGTAAATTCTCATGTCATTTAAAATCTCAGTTTCCAGCGGAGAGCTAAGAAGATGAAGGCCTATCTGGTATGTCTCAGATGCCTTTCTTTCTCAAATTCCAAGAGATTCAGCAAACAGCTACCAGGGGGTTTTAAAAAAAAAAGCAGGTACCAGACAAGTAACACCCAGAATACTTTAGCTCTGACCTCACTGTACTTTCCATTTTATAGGTGCCTGCTATTTTCATTCTATCTTGTTTTTAAGTCTCCCCTTCTGGTGGCACAGAGGTTACGTGCTACAGCTGCTAACCAAATGCTGGCAGCTCGAATCCACCAGGCGCTCCTTGGAAACTATGGGGCAGTTTTACTCTGTCCTATAGGGTTCCTATGAGTCGGAATCAACTCGACGGCAACGGGTATGGGTTCCATGGCAAAGGCGCCCTAGTGGCGCAGTGGTTAAGAGCTTGGCTACTAACCAAAAGGTTGGCAGTTCGAATCCACCAGGTGCTCCCTGGAAACCCTATGGGGCAGTTCTACTCCGTCCTATAGGGTTGCTGTGAGTCAGAGATCGACTCAATGGTACCAGGTTTGGTTTTGGTTTGGTTCATGATAAAAACTTCTAATAGGCTAGGAATAGTAGGGAACTTCTGTAACCGGTTAAAGAGTAACTAACAAAAATTCAAGTAAATATAATGATAAAACTTGAGAAGCATTTATTTTGAAGTCAGAATACAATGAGGATGCCCACTCTCACTGCCTCTACTCAATATTGTATTGGAGGACCTAGCCAACATAATACAAGAAACAGAAAGGAGGTAGAAAGATTATTTAGTAAGGAAGGGACAACACTGTCATTACTTTAGACAAAAAGACTGTCTACTGAGAAAATCTACAAATCATCAGAACCAACAAGATAATGCAGGATGGCTGATGGATATAAGATAAACATACAAAAATCAACAGAATTTGTATATATTTGGAAAAGCCATATATAATATTTTAAAAGATTGCATTCCTAGGAGTCACAAAATAAACTAGTAGAAAACATTTATGGTATCATAATGTCAAAATATACTAGAAATTCTTATAAATCAGTAAGAAAATGATCAATAAGCCAATAAAAAGAAAAAAAGCAAAAAGAGCCAAAGATTCACAGAAGACCTAATGGCAATAAACATATAAGAAGACATAAAAAGTAACTCAGGCTATTAAAGTAACACTGAACGTTAATTCTCATCTACCACCATCCACTGCAAAAATTAAATGATGGGAGGTATAAGGGGAAAAGGAGGAGTTTCTCTTGTATCCTATGGGTGCGTACGCAATGTGTTTCATCTTTTTTTGGAATGTAATCTGGTAATACTTTAAAAATTACAAATACACATACCCTTTAATCCAGCAATCTCAAACTCACTCCATTAAACTAATATACTCTCTGGACTCGGGCAGAATGGCTATGGCAGCATGCTTGTCCGTTTTCCCATTCTTGCCTATTCTGTAATATTCTTTGGACTCGGGCAGACATGGCTGTGGCGGCATGCTTGTCTTTTCTCCCATTCTTGCCTATTCTGTAATGGTCTTTGGACTCGGGCAGACACGGCTGTGGCAGCATGCGTGTCCTTTCTCCCATTCTTGCCTATTCTGTAATATTCTTTGGACTCGGGCAGACATGGCTGTGGCAGAATGCTTGTCCGTTTTCCCATTCTTGCCTATTCTGTAATGGTCTTTGGACTCGGGCAGACACGGCTGTGGCAGCATGCTTGTCCTTTCTCCCATTCTTGCCTATTCTGTAATATTCTTTGGACTCGGGCAGACATGGCTGTGGCAGCATGCTTGTC